TTTGTATACAACATTTCAAAAAGGAACAATTTTTACAGCATAAACATATCTACTATGCAAATTAGTTTAATATAAATTAAGCAATCTGAATAAAGATTTTCTTATTTAAACAAAAAGTATAAGGTGAAAGTGCTGTTTCATAACCCATAATATACCAATTTGTTATATTTACAAAGAACGACATGGTGCACTTATTTTTAAACTCCTAGATGCTATTATAATTATATGTAAATATACGGCATATATAATTACATGTATCCGGAACTGATTACAATGATCACGCCATCTCCGGCTGGTAACAAGTAAGTATAGGGGGAGGTCGCATATTGCGTTGGTGTGGTGTAGATCAAAATTAAATAGCATAGGCTAGATTCTGGAGTACTCGCCATTTGAACATACAAGACGATGCCTCCAAATAGCTCCCTCTTTCGTTTATTGAAATAAACTACACTTGTAACTTTTGTTTTTAACCAATCTAAGCCATCTGAGAATACCCGCGCTATGTGTACATATTGGCCTCTATAATACATGTATAATCAAACTATTAATGGAAATATTATTTCAAGTATAGTTTATAATTTGGTTGAAGAAAACAATTTTATAGCGAAGTCGAATGTACTGATAGAATAGTATTTAACAATAGTAAAGATTCAGTGAAAGAAAAAAGAGGAAAGAAATACATTCTAATTATGACACAAAAGGAAGGAGGCATTATTTGATTTAATTTTTTTTCTTCATGGTTTATTACAAGTTGTGAATGGCAGCCGATGTTTGAAATACTCACAGCTTACAAAAAATGCTTTCAAAGATTAATAATGAGGATGCTTTCAGTACATGCTTGCTTTGTACACATCAATTTTTTATACAAGGGTCGAGCAGAGATATGATTACATTATTACGAAGTTAAAAAAGTGGAGTAACCTCTCAATACAGTGTATATTTGTATATTATTGAAAAGGATCGCTATATACACAACGTGTGACTAAATGAATAGCGGTCTTTTATAGATAGCGGTCCTTATAAATAACGAGCAGAGCCTAGATTTGTTTTAAATACATTTTTTTTTAAAGGGTGAGGGGACAGATGTGGCGATAGACCCTCCTTAAATGAGCATTGGAGAGTCCTTTATTCGATTCTCACTTGATTTGTCGCTGAATATTTTTTCGTACTCTGACTTGTGGCTTATATGTGATAATGTTTAGGCCTTATATATTTCCTTTTAAAGCAACTAACTATCTTCGCTCATATGAATCTTTTCATAATGTCAAATTATGTATTTGGTTTGGGCATACTCCTATGAATAGTGTGCAAGCACGGACTTTGTCTCAGATTCTGAAACAAAATCCTGGATTTAGCTCATGCTGCAATGACAATTATAAGCCTTTAGGTCAGTCAGGAAACCCATGACTTTTGCAAGCCGATCGCCTGTCTGATTATCAAGATATTTATGATTGGAAATCGAAATCAAATGTTGCGTTTTCCTTACGGTGTTCATATCACTACAGTCTATTGTGGAAAACGAGTATGGTAAAACCGGTCACTCACAGATTTTTATACTTTTTTGAGACACTTTATGATAATTTTGAAGCGCATTTTTTGTTTAGGGCTTCAATATTACAACATATTACAGACACTGATAACACGTAGGGCCATGCATCTCAGATTGAACATTGTTAAACGATGCCTTTAAACCACACTTCCTAAAACCTTGAGACGAGCCGGGATAATAATATGTCAGTCCCCGGCTGAAGCGGCTATATGGTAGGCCTACAGAGCGTTATTGTTTATACTGGATACATAAGACCAATATTAGAGTATTGCGAACCACTTTTCAATGTGATTTAAAATGGGATACTCAAGTAAAGGAAATGTTAAAGAAGTGCATTAGAAAGTTATATATGTTACGCACTTTGAAACGTTTTAATTTACCTATTAGTGATCTCGTAATTGTTTATACTGGATACATAAGACCAATATTAGAGTATTGTGCACCACTTTTTCATTCCAACCTAACGCGTAAACAAACAGATAATATTGAACGAATACAAAAACGGGCATGTAGAATTATTTTGGGACTCAATTATGAAACATAATTATACTCATGCTCTGGAATTGTGCAATTTATTAACGTTGAAAGAACGTAGGAATAAACTTTGTTTTGGTTTTGCCATTAACTTAGAAAAGCATGAATTTTGTTTCTTTATGGCTACCAAGTCAAAGAATAGTTAATTTTAATATACGAAATGTACAAAATATTCTCAATTTATTTGTAAAACCAATCGATTTATGAATAACTCTATTTCCTATTTTGTTCGCATCTTAAAATTATTATTATTCAAAAAAGTAAGCTGCATGCATTTTGTACATGTTTATGTTTAATGATACTGCCTATTATGCGTATGAATGTATCTAGTATTTTTATCCTGTTATGTCATTTATTTGATGTTCCAATGTATAATGCTGTATTTAGACATCATTATGTATTTTACCTTGTAAATGACCATGCAATTCAGCTTCGGCTGCAAGAACGTCATTTTGAATAAACCTTTGTTGAATTGAACAATAGTCTCATAGTGCAGACACTGTTACGCACAGCAACTGACAAGGTTTATGCCTGCAAATTATCTATTGCTGCGCTGTACATTTACCACTGTACAAATTTTCCACTGGCGAGACTATGAACGTGTCCCTCACAATAGTTAATATAGTTGACCATCCCCTTTCTATGATGAATAGACGCGCCCGCTCTGTTACCAAGTGCATCCAAGTACATCGGACCAATCAACGTCGAGATACGGTTAAAATGGCGCGCGAGTCGACCGTGAATTCAACACAATCGCTCCGCCTACATGACCATTCTATGTTAATACATTGGCTCGCGATCAGCTGGTGAAAGCATGCTTTGAAGGCCCGGGGAAAAGCGATTGCCAAGTGGCCAATTTGCAGTAGGTATGATAAACAATGATTAGAAAAATGAATATGTTTAGAATGTTTGTTTATGGAAATCTTTGTAAATAAAAAATAATATCAGGAACAATCTTGCGTTGTGTCTTCTGGAAGAGGGGAACAAAAATCAAAAAGTGATGAAATGATCATACTTTATTCTTTGTGTCTTTGATCCTCCATGAAAAAGAAAAAAAGCTGGACGGAAGGGCTAAACAGAGAGAGAGGGAGAGAGAGAGAGAGGGGGGGGGGGGGACACAGACAGACAGAGCCAGAGAGAAAGAGAGAGAGAGCAAGAGGGAGAGAGAGACACAGAGAGAGAGATAGAGAGAGTTAGAGGATATTTGGGAAGGAAGGTAAGGTATATAATGATTTTTTTCCCCTTCCCCCTTTCTTTCTTGGGGGGGGGGGGGGGGGGGGGTGGGGAAGGGTGCGTGCCAGAGCATCTTAATAGCATTTATTTTCCATGCAAGGCGTGTGGTGGTCTGATGGCTAAGAACGAGGAATAGGGACATTTAATCTTTTTGCGCTCCCTGTAAAACAAAACATTATCATCAGATATATTCATCAATAATTCACATTACGATCAAAGTTAAATAAATGCAGCAATATAATATAACACATGATACACGAATTCAGAGGAACTGTGCAAACTTAAAAACATAATAAATTATCAATAATTGAAACCGGAAATGATGAGCAAGAAAATAAGTATATGGCCCTCCCCCCCCCCCCCTCTCTCTCCCCCCTCTCTCTCTCTCTCTCTCTCTCTCTCTTTTTCTTTCTCTGTCTCTGTCTCTCTGTCTCTGTCTCTGTCTGTCTGTCTCTCTCTCTCTCACATTATCTCACTATGAACATGACAGACAATGAAAGCGGACAAAATATACAGTTCCTCAGGTAGACAAAGGAACATCCCTTCACTGCTTTTATGTAAAAATGTGTGGAACAGGTGTCACATGCATATTCACCTATTCTACACATTTTTACATAATAGCAGTGAAGGGGTGTTCCTTTGTCTACCTGAGGAACTGTATATTTTGTCCGCTTTCTTTGTTCGCCATATTCATAGTGTCTCTCACCCCTCTCTCTATCTCTCACTACCTCTCACTCAATCCTTTTGCGTAGTTTACTCCTATGTGTTAATCCACTTCGCCTATCTTTCAGGCCACCGTGAGTGTTTGTTTAGCCTTATATGACTTGAACTTTCGTTTCCTCGTGAACTTCCTGTAGAATGTAAAAAGCGTCAAGTTCGGCATTTTAGAGATGTACTTGGCGAACTTCCTTTTGTTATTTTTTCCAACACTCAACCATTCCTACATTGCAGTTTATAATTTAACAGTGACACTGAAGCCTTCACAAAGTTATCAAGGCGTACACTTTTTCGATGGCAGGCCAATGACAGTCAAAGGCGAAATACCTTGGGCACATTAAAAGACATCCTAATCTCCTGAAATAATTGCTAGAATTTAGAAAGAATACATGTGACTGATGTGTAAGAATCTTATATTTACAGCAAAAATTAAAGTTGAACTTAGAATGAGACTTATAAACTGCCACCTTATTTTCATATCATAATCATATCATAATATGTCTGGTTTGTTATATTGTATGGAGCAGAACCATTAACATTAACAAAGAATATGGACAAGAAATCACATCGCTTGAAAACTGTGGTAAAGGAAAATAATGAAAATATCAGGGAAAGGTTCAATAATCAGAATGGAAATTGCATACTGCATTACGTGTATTGAGTACATGCGTCTTTAACAAATAGGCTACATTTTCTCATCAAATTGCAGTGATGCACTTCAAAATATCCTGAAAAACAATTAATAAACTTAGCACTTTCCATGGCATTCCATTCTGCCCAAAGAATTGTGCAGACGAGTGCACTTTATAACCGGGTCAATGGTTGACCCGAACTAAAGTAATCGAAGAACAATACAATTTTTAATGACTCACGAAATCCATTATTGTTTCACCATTACAAATGGGTTAATATATAATGCGCGAATCTCTACAGTGCTCTCAGTCCGAGCAAATTGGCAACGTTTGAACTTGCCTTCATCAGCTGCTAACAATAACAAATCAACGTGCATTGCGCCATTGTCGCGGATATTGTGTGCAGGAATGGGCGTTGTGCATTGCTTCATAATACACACATCTCAATTCCGCAGCGCAGACACTGAGCAGTGAAATTCCAGCATCAAAACAAAGCATGTTTTGCTGATGTACGACTCTTCGGGCCCATTTTATCTAATAACTCCAACAAATTCTGAATAATTGGACAGTTAGCTGTCTAATTTTCGTAAGGTTGACATTTCTGACCTATTCTGAGAGCTGGAAAGTGACATTTTATCCCAGCATCATGTTCGACTCGGCAGGTGATGTCTTTCTTCCATTCTTCGAGTGGAATACGTACACGGTTGTTACTGCAGCTGTTCTTGGACTGATTTTGTACGATTTGTACTGCAAAGGAACTGCAACGCTGTATGGACATACCGTGAGTATATTGCCTTAGCTTGTTGTAATACTTCTGTTTTCGTTATTTATTAATGACATAATTGGGACAGAAGGAGTGATGAAGAGTCAAAAGTGAGAATGAGAGTGTGTGTGAGAGAAAGAGAGAAAGAGAGAGAGAGGGGGGGGGGGGGAGAAAACGAGAGGGAGAGAAAGAAAGAAAAAAAATATTCAAAGAAAAACAGAAAGAGATAGAGAGAGAGAGAGAGAGCGAGAGAGAGAGAGAGAGAGAGATAAAGCGAGATTGTGCCTCGGCTTTTCCCGTCAAGATAAACCATGATTATTATTATCAACAAGCATATTGCAAATTTACAATATTTAGGTTTTGCACGCTCGAAGTAAATTTAAAAAAAATTATGTAAGAATACTTCTTTGGATGGAATAGAAATTCGAAAAACGTTATTCGTCTCATTGTCTGAACTTTAAAATATGTTCAACGATGTGTATAAGAACATGCCCCATAGCTTCGACCGTCAGAAGAAAAAGAAAACACAAAACTAACAAATATTTCTATTTGCATACTCTGACAAGCACATGTATTAGATTTGCTATTGTTTACATCGTTGCATGGCCATTCCATTATGGTTATTGCTGATCATTTTTTTTAGTGCGATTGCGATCTGTACTTCCAGCTGAGGATGAGGTCGTGACCCCGTTATACTTAAAGCAGCTGTTTGTAAGAAGCTTGGTATGGGTGCCCATGACTATTGAGCTTGGCCTATGAAGTATGAACTGAAACTACTAGTAATCCCTGCTGAAACCATAGAAATATTGTCGGCCACTGTTGGTCTCGTCGGGGTGTATTGGGTTGAGAAAGCACTTGTATACGGAAGCCCATTATTTAGTGCCACCATGTGAATTAAAATTTCAGAGGAATTATCTGACGGCCCCCACTTAGTTATCGGAAATCTCCCCCCCCCCCAAAAAAAAAGGACAACCACCCCCGAGGACAATTACCCCCGGAAAATTACCCCCCTAAGACAATCACTCTCACTCCCACCCCTGAAACTTACCCCGTAGGTCAATCACCCCCGTTGAAAATACACACCCATCCCCTGAAACTTACCCCCACCCCCCCCCCCCCCCCCAGTGCCCCCTGTTCTTTAAAGGGTAGTCCACCCTGATAATTAGGTGGTTTTAATACATTTCGAGGGGGGGGGGGGTGAACTCATGAAACCCATGATTTGAAGTACCAATGCCCGTATTTGTTCCTTATTTCTCTATTTCTATAAACGTGATGTATTTATTTCTTGTAATTATGTATTTTCTTGAATATTACTGTAACGCTAGTGGAAACCAAATTTCTATGTAACTTGTTTGCAAAGACCAAATGAAATATCTTGTATCTTGTAAATGTTCTTGTGAGGGGGAATAATTGTCCTCGAGGATAATTGTCTTTGGGTGTAATTGTCCTGATGGGTGGTTGTTCTCGGGGGCGGGGGGGGGGGGGGGTATTTCCCGGGGATAATTGCCCAGGGGGTTATGTTCCGCTCCTGTAATTAAGTTGCGGCCGCCAGATAATTCACCTTAAATACTAATTCACATGGTGGCACTAATGGGCTTCCGTACTATATCCGCTGCTCTTTTAAACACAGAGAAGTCCCAATAAACCATTTTCGCAATGCACAAATTTTATAAGTGCTTCGTTACAAATTATTTCATTCAACTGTTACGAATAATTGTATTTCAATTGTCAGAATGCAAATTGCATCATTAATTGTTGCTAGGTAGGACAAACATTCTGGCTTGTCCTATTCGCGTTCTGACTATTGAAATACAATTATTCGTAACACTAACAGGTGAATGAAGTAATCTGTAACAAAGGTTGTTCTTGACAGCCTGAAAGCTTGCCCGAAGCTTGTCCGACATAGCAACAGGTAACGCATGCAGACTGGATTCCTAGTACTGTAGTTTATTCATGAATAACAGGTTATTGAATAATTAGTCGGAAAGAAATTTCACCGCCCAGCTAATTATTGTTTTTCAACCTTGCAATAAATTACATTTACTGAATTAATGCATGTCATAATCAACCGAATGCGTGTACTGTAAGCTTTGCTTAAATTCACGTTGTTTTGCTTTTCCCAAGCCAAATTATGTTGCACAATTTTTGTTGCACAATTTTTGTTTATAAAACCAGTTTGATTTAAAGTGATTACTGTCAAAGTTTTATGGAACAATATATCATCGTGGTTTGTATATATTGTGAACGCAATCTAAGAACGGCATGCCTATTTTGTTTGTATGTAGATGGGCATTCTTTGATTATTTGAATGCAAATAAAATACTTAAGTACAATGCAGTAATGATTCAAACAAACAGCTTATTGAATTTTCAGTTTGGATTGTCTTTGATTGATATCGTCAAATACAGTTCACGTACGTTACTTTATTCATTACATCCTAAATGGTTAACAATGATCATAACAATACATGAATTGTAATCTGTGTTGTTTTTTAGACACAATACATATGTACCTTGTAAGTTTTATTTATTTTGTTATTGAGTTTATTATTGTGGTTAACTTGATAGGGGATCTCATTTATATTACAGGCGCAAGTTGCTTCTTATAGGTCCTGGAGGGTGTGTCTTAAGGCATGGAGATATCTCTACTTATATCTCCATGCTTAAAGCTTATCTGCCGTAGTTTACAGGAGGGATTAGACCGCTCTGCAAGGTCACTGGACAGGTGGTTATCTCATCAACTCAGCTCTCAGTTAACATAAGAAAAAGAGGATCATGGGACCAATGGTCACCGATTAGGCATTGTTTGTTATATAGAGGGCGCAAGTAGCTACCAGTAGTGCAGTGGGCCTTTAAAGCTGTTCGTAAAATTACGCATTACTTTACGAATGACTTATATATGAAAAGCCAAATGGGATGCTCAGTCATTTTTAACTGCATCAACTTAAGTTGAACTGTGCAGATGTAGATTAACATTTTTATTATAACAATATTTGTTAATGCAAAGTATATATTTTGATATAATTTGATTGAGGTTATTGGAAATATAGTCACACTTTGTTTAAAACTTTGGAAAAACTTTGGGCATCCTATCTGGCACTTCATATTCAAGTCATTCGTAAAGTCATGCGTAACTTTACGAACAGCTTTAATGAAACACCCTCTGGCTTATATGCCAAATAAATTTAATTGAATACGCTTATCAATAAAAACGGACTTTTTGCGCCAGTTTAACTTTGGAATTTTGGAAATATATCACTCCTGTTACTGACTGCAGAATCCTATCTATTCTACGCATACAATGTCATGAAGAAAAATGTGGAAGGATTTAGTTCATGGCTGCGACGAATCATGACAATAGAGCCGTGGGATTGGTTTTGCTCTATTGTTAAAGATTATAAAGGATGAAGGGGGGGGGGGGGGGGGGGGGTTCCTCACATATTAAGACCTACGTGGGTGTGCCGCTCTAATGGGTAGCTTTTTTCGCACAAAAATCCCTAAACCTGGGTCCTATTTTTAACAAAAATACCCCTAAATAGGGTCCGCTTTATAGAAGTTTTGAACATTTTCACGGTCTTTTGCCATGCAGACATCCGAAGATTTTGAAAAATGGGCTTTACTTCGAAAAAAAATCCGCCAAAATGACCCTTAAAAATGGGTAGGGGTTTCGAGGCTTCAGCGGCACAACCCCGTCAAAACCAAATCTGAGTCCCCCCCCCCCCCCCCCCCCCCCCCTGGAGTTAGACCTTGAGTAGGAATGTAAAACCATCCATATATCGAGTATGGACAGTAAAGGCTGATGAGTTCGAAGGAACGAGGGGATAGAACATGGACCTTAAAGGGAGTGTGTCATGACGAGACTATGTGTCTTTCCTGTGGCCCTACTCGGGGCCAATCGGGTTTAAAGATAAACTTTAGTACTGGTAATGCGATTGCATTGTGAAAGAAAAGGGGTGAAAGGATCAGAAACAGTTAATCATGTAGCATGTAAGTATTGGTGCGCACTGCAAGGTTCTGGCGTCATCAAAATCATAATAAATTTGACCGAGTCTTGGTATAGTAACAAGCACTCACATAGAAAGCTATATATGGGACAACACACGTGGTGTCGGGGCTAGTTCTACCTTGATTTCCTTGTCTTTCTATGCTCATTACTCAGCCAGTATACATTTTCTTCCAAAATTGTTCGGCACATGTCATTTATTTGTAATCTTGAACATTCAGTGTAAGTTTCGTTTGATTCTGTGAGAATTAATTTTCTTTTTTTTACCAGTACTGGGGGGTGTTTCACAAAGATCTTAAGTTGAACTTATCTCTAAGTTGGACTTAAAAATTATGGAAAGCCATTAGCATCTTTGAAAATATTTTGTAAAAGTTATTGTGAAAGGCATTAATTGTTTATTCAAATCATTCATATTTTCTATTCTCAAGGAGATTTCATGTTCTGGATGTGGAATTTATAAAAAGTATAAAATACTTGAATTTCTGCTTTTGAATATATTTCATTTTAAGACTCCAATGGCTGTCCATAATTTTTAAGTCCAACTTAGAGTTAAGTTCTACTTAGGATCTTTGTGAAACACCCCCCTGGAGTTTATCTTTAATACGACTAAGGACAACGCGACCACAGCATTCACGTGCGTGCAACATACGCGAAACCGAAGCATGAGGAGCACTTCAGTCTGTTTCGCGAACGCTAGCGCGCTGACCCAGTTAATCAAGTTCATTCATTTACGTGCAGTTGTCCTAAACAAGACGTAGATGGCGTTAACCAGTATTTGCCATGGTACACTCCCTTTAAGTCCATGGGTAGAGAAAGGGACAGAATGAAGTAGAGGATTACTAAGGGAGGGGGAGGGGGGGGGGGCTGTATAGGGGCTCTTTTTTTTTTTAAAGAGAATATTGAGTTCCAGGGAAAGGCGAGAGATAATTTGTGAGTGTTATCATTGTTATAATTCAAGAGTGGAGGAACATCAGAGAATTTGTTTTCCCCTGAGAAGCCTTGCTCTTCAAATGCCTTCATATTATATGACAAGAGCTTAAAAATGAGCCCCGATTTTTATGCCACATACTTGTGTAGTCCCATATACATCTTTCTGTGTACAGTGCTCGTAACTTTACGAAGACTGGGCCAAATTTCTTATCATTTTGATCACTCCATGAAACCTTGCAGTACACACCAATATTTACAATGTGTATGCTATACAGCCTACATGATTAATTTTTTCTGAACGATTCCACGCTGGAATCAAGGAGTGTCAGATTTCATGTTCTTGATGTGGAATTTCTGAAAAGTCTAACAAACTTGAATTTCTGCTTTTTAATATATTTAAGGCTACAAATGGCTCTCCATAATTTTCAAGTCAAACTTAGAGTTAAGTTCGACTTAGGATCTTTGTGAAACACCCCCTGGTAATGCTGCTGCGATAGATCAAGTGTAGTAACTCCTTGGATAGATCAAGACACGAGTTGTGAGCGTGTGAGTGGAGAATGCATGTAAATTCCACGCTGTGAAATCTACATAGATGATGTATAGGGTTGGAATGTCCCGTCCCATCCATCCTGCCCCACGTGTCTAGCGCGTGCCGTCTCATTATCAACCTCCTAATGCTCATATCTCTACTCAGGCCTGTTGCATAAGGTCATAATCGACATTACTTTCATTTCTATTCATGACATTTAAAGGCCCACTGCACTACTTGTAGCTACTTGCGCCCTCTCTATATTAAACAATGCCTAATCGGTGATCACCTGTCCCCCATGAACCTCTTTTTCTTATGTTAACTGAGAGCTGAGTTGATGAGATAACTACCTAGCTGTCCAGTGACCTTGCAGGGCGGTCTAATCCCTCCTGTAAACTAGTAGTGATAAGCTTTAAAGTAAACCATTTAAACTGTTTGTGATTTGTATCACGATGTCTAGACGAGATGAGTCTACGAATATGTAATTCGAATCGTTTTGTATATTTGTCAATTAGTGTTCTTTGAAAGGAATTTCCTAATTTAAATGAGATCAAAATCAAGTAGATGCCGCTTAAGTCCATTTCTTGGACAATTTGCTGTTATGGTAACAGGCTCGGTACTTATGTCGTCATTACGTAACGACCAGACATGGGACGTCACAGTAGGAAGGCGTTCCTTCTATACCGATTCGGTAGACATAATACACGTGTACAATGTATACTAATGATTCAAATTGATTGAAACGCTTTCTCATAATTCCTAGTAAATAATTGCTACAGTACACTGCGTTCAAATACCAAGATTATACACATGGAATATTCTTTGCATAACATACCGGACTAGATAATTTGATTATATTAATTAGGTTTTATTTACCCAGTGTTACTTATAATCTTCCTGTGGGCCCTGTAATTATTAAAAGTACCCCATCAATCGCCAGGTACCCATTTACAACTAGGTAGAGAGTTGCGAATGTGGGTGAACGACTTGCCAAAGGACATTTAGTGACGGGCTGAGATTCGAACCATCAACCCTTGTATTGTGTTTCAAGTGAAGGAACCACTATACCACGATACTTCCTAGTGACATGCTATACTGCCTTGTAAGACAACAGACCTTGGGCCATGACTTAAAAAAAAAAAAAAAAAATTATACAAGTTGGTTTTCATACATGAAACTGAAAACGTTGAGCGGTTATTATGTCTGATGTATTGACAAATATTTATTTGAATTATGCCGACTGGTATGATAATTATTTTCATCAACACTAAGAGCGCATTTTTGATTTAATTTGTTTATCCCGGAAATTGGAAAATTATGCCGACCGATATTTCGTTCAGTAAGGACACTTTTTTGTTACGCTTTAGCACAACATCAAAAATGTATTTAAAGGGAAAGTCCACCCCCAAAATAAGTTTGTTTCGATAGAGGCAGAATAATAAGAAAATCAGGTGAGTGAAAGTTTGAGCAAATTCTGAACGAAAATAAGAAAGTTATGAATTATTGAAGTTGTGATCAATCAAATACAAATTGGCAACTCCGTGACTTATTATACGAGCTCTCCTTCATTTGCTTTGTGCATAATATTCCATAAAAACATGTTTTCTTCGTTATTGATGACGGAATATATATTTGTTCCTTGCAGGGGGAGTATAGAAACATATTTGCAATTATTATATTTAGGGTGCATGTATGGTTGAAATTTTTCTTGAGGGAAAATGAAAATTTTAGATTTTTTTAGTACTGAGCAAAATGGAAGTTGAGCTCGCATGATACGTCATAGAGTTGCCAATTTGTGTTTGATCACAACTTCAAAAATCCTAACTTCCTTATTTTTAATCGGAATTTGCTCAAACTTTCACTGACTTGTTTCTCTCATTTTTCTACTCCTATTAAAACAAACTTATTTTGGGGTGGACTTTCCCTTTAAACAAAAATTGAGGGGGGGGGGGGAGGGTCCTCCAAAAGCTCTAGAACACACACATACAAACAATTTGAGGGGGGTTAACCCCCACCCTCTGCGTACGCGCCTGCGAGGACATGTTTTCTTCAAATGCATTCAGATAATTATTAGCGAACGTAAAATATGAACTCCGACATTTCCAGCATTTATCATTCTCAGTATTCACGTATTACCTTGGCCAGGACGCAAGTCTAGAGAATTGGCAATGAATTCACATTTCCTGCACAGTAGTCGGAAGTTACTGTCTAGGGTATTACACTGTATACATGGCAAACATCCAATTGGAAGTCGGTCCTTTCCAGTTACACGTTTAGTGTAATTGATAGATACCGTACACCCACTGTCCTACTTGTAGCTACTTGCTCCCTCTATATAGAAAACTTCCCCAATCGGTGCCTGTTGGTCCCCCCATGATCCTCTATTTCTTATGTTATTTGAGAGCTGAGTTGATGAGATAGCCACCTGTCAGTGACCTCGCTGTGTGGTCTAATCCCTCCTAGCCACACTAGTGTTGATAAGGTTTAAGCTACATCTTAAAATTAATTCCTTGTTTCTCGTTCGCTCGTCCTCCCTTTTTGTCGGCTGGCTGCCTCAATTCTTTTGTTATTTGATATTTGTATTCTGAAATCAAAGTAAAAAATAATCAATCTCAGGACATTTAGTCAGTTAGATGACAGAATCATCATTTTTTTTTTATAAATGTAATGCTTCGTTGGAGAAATTTCAATTATTTAAACATATTTGTTTTTCAATACAGATCGATCAATCGATCTTAATTACTGGGTGTAAGCCACGAATATGTTTAAATAATTGAAATTTCTCCCAGGAAGCATTACATTTATAAAAGTTTTTGTCATATGGCGGACTAATTGATATTAATAAGTCAGAATGAATCAGGAAAGTTTGGGTTTGTTTCTAGTTCATCGTGACTGTGCCATGGACCAGTGATGGCCTGGTGGTAGAGTCGCTACCCGGCAAGTAGTAGATGCAGGTTCAAGTCCCACTGGTTCCAAGATTTTTTATGACTTATTTTTCAATACAGATCGATCAATCGATCTTATTTACTGGGTGTAAGCCACGAATATGTTTTAAATAAAGAAAATCATCATGATTTAATTTCCTCTCGTTTTGAGCCTTTGAAGTGTAGTGCATGTACAAATTAAACGCATTTGATTACATTTTTGTTGATTTTTTTTCTCGAAAAATCCGAACTGTAGTGGTGGTAGTGGTAGTAGTAGTAGTAGTAGTAGTCGTAGTAGATTAGGAGGGTTTTATAATTAAAAGAAACATTTTTACAAATGTATACAAATTCTTCACGATTCAAATTTACCTTCGAAAAAGAAACGATTTTTAAATGTCAAGATCGCAAATTGTTTATTGTTTCTTTCTTTCCAGCCCCGCATATATCTTTCAATTATCATGATTAGTTTACAGATTCGATGTATCCATATTCCATAACCGAACGAACTATCCCATGAGCGTGTTAGAAATCGGATAGCACTGCTACCTGCAACTATAATTTGTTATTAATTACAATTTTGAAGAGGTTATCAAATGCCACGATAACATAATTGATATCTTATCATATTAAAAAAAAAATCTTTTTCTTTCTTTCTTGTTTTCAAATTTTTCAAATAAATTTTTAGTGAACGAATGAATGAATGGTGATTAGTTTACCTGACTGCTAAGAAAGCATAAATGCTTGTAAGTAAGCAACCAGACGGCCGACGGCTTTAGGTCCTCTCCGAGGGACCTGGTAATGAGGATTTATGCCTTACCAAAGGGCACTAGCGCATCGACTTGGTTTTGAACCCGGGTCACCGGATTACGAGACCACTGCTCTACCGACTGAGCTATCGCGCCTCCCCTAAATAATGTTTTTAGTAAGCCCCGCATTTTCACATATATATTATGTCAATGTATGTTACGATTGTTAATTCCAATCATTTTTTTTTTTGAATTTTGAGAAAAAAACATGGACTAATTCAGTTGTAAATGATCGGTCGTGTCATGCATTTTTAAAGATGATACAAGGATTATTGGGGGCATTGGAAGCGGGGGTTTCGGTGGCTGCTCCCCTATCTCTTACCGAGAGTTTTAAAAATCCCCCCACCACCCCCCCTACCAAACAGAATTAAAAAATCGGGCAATGAAATGATAAGTTAGATTGTGTATCTTATTTTTGATGTGTAATTGAAAATTAGTTGTTCACAAATTCATAATGTCACTATGATAATATTTTCGCTTGCTTAGCTTGCCTGCGAAATTTAGATGTTGAAAAAGTATTGGGGCAAGAGACAGCTGCATCCCCCTCCCCTAAAATGTGTTTATTGGGGGAGGACATTCGCTTGTCCGTCGGTGTATTTATTGGCGAATATTTGTTATAATAGTGTCCGTGCTCTGCTATGTACACTAACTGTAATATAAAAACTATTATTATGGAAAGAGAAATAATCCGTATTTTGTTCCACTTTTTCGATGAACAGGGTCCAAGAGCTCGTCTCTCGTCGTCATCGTCTGACGTCTTCGATGTACTGGGTGACATCGACAGCTTCTCCCTGATCGAGCTCAATACCACCGTCATCTCAGACAATCTTGAACTCAAGACCAACGATGAACTCCTGCACGACGAAAGCCTCTTCGAATCCGATGTCGACTTCGGAAGTACGTCGTCGTCGTTTGATGATGAAGCCTTCGGACATCCGTCAGAACGACCCTTGGTTGTCATGTTTTCTTGGCTTCTCGCGAAACCCCGTCATGTCAATAAATACGTGGAGCTCTACACCCGAAAAGGGTAAGGTTTCGTTTCAAGGTTTTGATCATGATGCTACTAATTGCATTCGTTAAAGCATAGTCCCCTTTTCTGTTGATACGAAATATCTACCCAGATTTAGTCTAGTGATTATGACAATTTGATTTACCATAACAAAGATAATTTCTGAAGGCATTCAAACGGACGTCCGTGTATTGGTAATAGGAACATATTCCTAGGAGATGTATAACAGGCTTTTCAAATCGCCCTTGAGTTGATTTTCGGATAATCTTTGTAAGAAACAAAAACAATTTTTTTGTTTTTTTGTTTGTTAATCTGTTGGGTATATAAGCTTGTACACTATGCTTATTCGATAAATCTTCAACCTGGTCTTGTTATACTCTCTTCTTATCCTAATTTCAATTTTTCAGTTTTGTGTAGGTGGCAACACCGATAAGGTATTTTCCTTTCTAGCTGTCTCCTCATAATAAATACTCACTTTTCTCTATATTTTGTCCAGATCACCTTTATGATGTATATTATATTATACTATCATTTTTTTGTAATATATGTTTATTTTGACTCTATATCTTTTGTGATTTTGTATGTTATTGTATATAAATGTTTTTTTTTTTATGATGAATGGAATAAATTTCATTATCTATCAATCTATCTATTACGTTCAGTCAGGCTTATATGTTGTCTCGTTCTATTGTCCCACTGTCGAATGGATGCCCATGACAGACAAATTGTCCAATGGCTATTCCCTTGTGATTAGCGTTTGATTTGAATGCCTCCCTCCCTCCCTCTCAATCTAGAATGGACGTCCTCGTCGTAAAGACCCGTCCAATTGACATCGCTTGGCCGGCCAACGCAAAGGAGATCGCCCGCGAGATCCTCGACTATGTCACCGACGGCGACAAGCGCCCTCTCTTGGTCCACGCCTTCTCTGTCAGCAGTCACGTCTACGCAGAGATGCTCGACCTCGTCGATGCTGTCGAGAAGTACTCCTCGGTCCGTTACCGAATCGTCGGTCAGATCCTGGATAGCTGTGTCTTGTCGAGGGATAGTTACGAAGGGATCTACTCACAGGCGTCCTCCAACTCGTTCACACAGCTCTTCATTAAGAGGGTCGCAGAAACCTACTTCTGGGTGACCAACAAGTACACAATGGATAGCATTATCAAGGTGGGTACGAACCGCGGCAGGGCAGTGCTTGCAGGCCGGGCCTCTTCAATCGATTTTTGTCCGTCCGGCGTCCGTAAACTTTTTACATTTTCATCTTCTCAAAAACACATGGCCGGATTTTAACCAAATTTGATCAACAAGTACACAATGGATAGCATTATCAAGGGGGTACGAACCGCAGCAGGTCGAGGATATGTTGGCTTGCAGGCCGGGCCTCTTCAATCGATTTTTGTCCGTCCGTCCGTAAACTTTTTACATTTTCATCTTCTCAAAAACACATGGTCGGATTTTTATCCAAATTTGATAGGAATCATCCTTAGGCCAGGGAGATCTGAATTTGTTCAAATGAGGTTCGTACCCCCAACGGGGACCTGGGGCAGCGCACCCTCTCCCTAAAGTTTCTCTTTGGCAGTAATTGCTCATTGTCTTCTTCATCTTGAAAACCCATGGCTGGTATTTAACCCATTTTTTTCCAAAAGCCTGGTTGCCCTCATTTTTATTTCATATTCGGATAGAACATGAAATAGAACATGAAGTAGAACTACGGTTTCATACCAAAATGTTGGTATGGATTATCGCTTAAACGGGCACGTTCTCGCCAGTGTAGTTATCGGAACATGCCATCTGCGAAAGAGCCGTATTCTGTTGGTGTCAATAGTCGGCTATAGCACCGTTCGCCAGCGTGTACGTATTTTGAACGCCCTCTTGAATACGGGGAACATGCCCCTTAACATTGTAGGAATCATTTTTGTATGTGAAGACCTAAAATTGTTTTTAATGGAATACCTGCCCCTACAGGGGAGTAGCACCTTTAAATTTCCCTACTGTTCCAATAAATTCTGTTTCTTATGCAAAGGGGATGGGAGCTACATGTAGGTCCCTTATTGCGAGGTCCCTTATTGCGAGGTCCCTTATTGCGAGGTCCCTCATTGCGAGGTCCCTTTTGGCGAGGTCCCTTATTGCGAGGTCCCTTATTGCGAGGTCCCTTATTGCGAGGTCTCTTATTGCGAGGTCCCTTTTGGCGAGGTCCCTTATTGCGAGGTCCCTTATTGCGAGGTCCCTTATTGCGAGGTCCCTTATGGCTAGGTCCCTTATGGCGAGGTCCCTACTGACATCGGCCCAGGTGAGCGTAGGCTCCGCGGACCTCTTGTTTTAACCGTGGATTTATCGTAATTCTAATATGTTTGGTTCGCTCGATTTCTTTCTGGTTTATCAAATTATGTGGATATCATACATGTACATTGTTTTTCCTCTATTTGGTCAGTTACTTGTACGCGGTGAGTCGCTGTGAAAATGTTATAGATAGTATTGATACATGACTGTATTGCCGGGTATTGTGACCCTTGTAATCTGAGTAAACGCACACCAGGGGGCGCTTTTTTTTCCGTACCGCTAATGCGTCGCAGAGGTTATTTCGACGACTTGAATAGAGGCAACATCGGACACACAGGCGTTGTGGCGTGCGCCTGTAATCCAGCTAACAGTGGAAGTTACAAACTGATTCAGGTGAGGACGCAGGTTCGAAACTGAGTCACGTCTTTCGGATGGTGACGTTTAAAGGTCGGTCCCCAGACGTAAATAATCATATCTGATTGATACACGTCTGTAAAAACCCAATTCACACACACACACGCACACACACACTAAATCGCGCGCACTGATCTTGTCACGTTTTCAGTCTGGCCGCGCACAACGCCTGTGTGTCGAATGTTGCCTCTATTCAAGTCGTCGAAATAACCTCTGCGACGCATTAGCGGTACGGAAAAAAAAAAAAGCGCCGCCGAGTTTGCGTTTTTGGAGACAGGAAGATGAACACTACATTGCAACTTCGATATTGATTTTAAAATGATTGGGTATCTTTGTCACAGATTCTGAAACAAAACTCTGGATTTAGCTCATGCTGCAGCGATAATTACAAACCTTTAGGCCATTCAGGAACCCTAAAATTTCAAAATTTCTATTTGGGGAAATGAGTATGGTAAAACCGGTCATTCAAAGATAGTTACTTTTTGGGGGCACTTCATTATCATTTTGAACGCAATTTTTTTAGGGCTTCAATTTCACATCATATCAGACACTGATACACGTAGGGCCATGCATCTCCGATTTTACATTGTTAAACGATGCCTTTCACCATTCGGGACCTGACTCGGAGACAGTTTGGATCTTTGAAACCGAACCATATATCAATTATTTCGTTTCAAGTCAAAGGTGAGTTGTTTGGTGTACGATGGCCTTAAAGCGAAGGTTGAGTACTGGTAAAAAAAAGAAAATTATTTCTCACAGAATCAAACGAAACTTACACTGAATGTTCAAGATTACAAATAAATGACATGTGCCAAACAATTTTGGAAGAAAATGTATACTGGCTGAGTAATGAGCATAGAAAGACAAGGAATCAAGGTAGTACCAACCCCGACACCATGCGTGTTGTCCCATACATAGCTTTCTGTGTATGTGCTTGTTACTTTACCAAGACTCGGTCAAATTTATTATGATTTTGATGACTCCAGAGCCTTGCAGTGCACACCAATACTTACATGCTACATGATCAACTGTTTCTGATCCTTTCCACACCTTTTCTTTCACAATGCAATCGCATTACCAGTACTAAAGTTTATCTTTAATCATTAAAGGGTATTTCACTCTTTGACCCACAGGTCAACGAGATCTTTACTGGTCGACCGGTCAAGGCACCGGCCCTCATCCTCTTCTCTCGCGACGACCACATCGCCACCGCCAAGGAGAACGACGAGCTCGTCAATCAGTGGCGTAAGCATCTCGATAACGATCTCTACGTCAAGTGCTGGCAAAGCTCACCGCACGTCGGCCACCTGGTCAAGCACCGAGACGAGTACGAGGACGCCATCTACGGCTTCATGGGGAAGTTGAAAGGCCTGCCGAAGAAGCTGCACCTTGATAAGCCGACCCCACCGGCAAACGTGTCATCCCTGCCACAACAAGCGCCGAAGGAAGCGGAACTGAAGAAAGACGAGTGAACGAAGAGCAGATGGTTCTCGCTGAAGAACACTAATGACAGTCCTTTCTGAAGAAGGCATTGCTACAGACTCATCAGATGGGCTGTGCCCTTTCATGGCTTTTTGAATCACTGTTGATTTTGACAATTACATGAATGCATTATTAGACCCTTTTCCCCTGTTTGGTATATCCTTAGAGGGGGATTCTTGAAATACATGTTAATGTTGGTTGTCGGTATTTTAATGCAAATTTGATGTTCTGCCCATTTTGTTGGTGGTCTTGCAGTATGGGAGTGGAGGGGCAAACTCCTACCCCTTCCGAATCGATCTGAAAAAGTGTGAGTATTTGTACTGGTACATAATTATATATTCACTAAGGATTACTCTTTGCGCCGGATTTTTCGAAAATGCATAGTATAGGAAGGAAGATGGATGAAATAGGTGAATGGATGCTGTTGTCTAAAACAGCAATCCACGGTCATGGAGTTCTTACCAGGATTGTCTGTAGTGCTATGAACTCGTTCATGCTGAGTAATAGGCTACCCCTTCCTATCCATGCTTATTGAACATGAAAGACCCTACACCTTAAAAATACTTGGTCAAAAAAGCTCAATCATCGCGTGTAATTATACTCTTTGCGCGCGGGAAGACGTACGACGCATATAGCATCATTCGCGAAAATAGTTCGTAGTAATAAATCACACGTGATACATTTGTGAAAGTTTGCTAAGTTAGTAACAATTTCTATATTTTTTTACGAGTATTCTGAATGCAAAGAAGTAAAAAAACTCATCAGATAAAAAGCAAAGGCAAATTAAAATTACATTATCAGTAGATCCACGGATATCAATGCGCATACAGCCGCGAAATCTACCCTTTTCCGTGGTCGAATTGTGACATAATCGTATAACACCTGCACGTTTATCAAAAAGAACCACTCGTTCAGTTGTCAATTCGACCCCGAATGCAGTCAAATCGACCACGAACATAGTTGATTTGGATTAACCCCGGAAAAAAAACACGCATTTTTGAGAGTGTACTTAGTACACAAATCGTTAATCTTCAATATGCATGTGAAATAGCTGGTCGAGCATTATTGGTATCCATATATATCATGGGCTAATGAAATTATTATTCATTGTGTTAGTGATTCGTCAAATTCGCCATGGTTCTGGCTCCCGCGGTTGACATATTTGTCGCCCTCTACCGGGAAAAACATTATATCAGTGATGTACATACTTCGTAGTCGTTATTATTAATTTTGTCAGGTTACTATCAGCTAGTATTTTGACTCGTCGTTTATCATCATTATAATATATATCATTACTTATCCTGACTAACACATATTTAACGGGTATTTTGGAATTTTATTTTTGTCCGAAGTTATATTTTCGACCTTGTGTGTGTGTGAAAAAAGCAATTGTTTGAAAGCACAAATTGAAATGTATTTAATTTTGTAAATACAAACATGTAGTTTATATTACTTTTAAAAACAGTTTGCCGCATTGTAGTGAATTTCTTGGTTTTAAAAGCTATGAAACCAGATATCAAACTTATTTTGGGCGAGATTATATTTTATATATTTCATTGCACAATAATGCTTTGACCTATCATTTTTATTCATATATTTTTCATCAATCATTTTTACAGAATTTTGCATCAAGACCCATCCGTCCTTCTGCCTTTTGCCTCATTATTTGTTAATGTCTCCCATCATATCTCCCTTCTCTCCTTCTTTCCTTTTTTCTCTCCACCTTTCTATATATATATATATATATATATACATTGACGTACGCAGGATTTTTTCAAGGGGGGGGGGGGGGGTTAATATTTTGAAATCGGGCCAAAAATTTCGCAACGACTCAGCCAGCCGCTGAATAAGCGTGGGGGGGGGGGGGGGGGTGGCTTTTTTTGTGTTTTTTGTTGGTCCCCAAAAAATTGCAACGACTCAGCCAGCCAGAAATTTTGCTCCGTAGTGGGGGGGGGGGGGGGGGGGGGGTGGTAAGGTCACTTTTTTTAGGTCAGCCATTGGCATAATTTTTTTTCTCACCGAAGGGGGGGTTTTGCTAAAAAAACACACACATAATACACACATAAAAAAACTAAGGGGGGGGGGGTTAACCCCAACCCCCCTCCCTGCGTACGCGCCTGTATATATATATATATATAATATATATATATCTATCTATCAATCTCAGTATGAAGTTATATAAGCTCGGAGTTTTGAAATTGAAGATATCTATCTTTATTTTCATCTAGTTATTTTTCCATCTCTAGATACTCAGCACAAAACTTACACAAACTCTGTTGACAACTTGATTGTAACAACTTTCAGATAAACTTTAACACTAGTATATAGATTAATCTTTCACTGGAAAGAAGTACTTTTAAAGAATCCTGAAGAGTTTGGAAATTCTGTCCCATTATGAATACACTTTGGCACAGGGAGATTATTTGTGGTGACGGTCATCATGTTTGTAACATTAAAATGGACGAGTTGTCAAACGCATGTTGGACAATCGCGCTCTCTGTCGGTATAGTAGATAAGCGCCCATTATTGTCTCATTATATGAACTCGTGTTTCAAATAAAAGCATGACTCGATATGAAAACGGAGTATCTATTTTTCATGTTTTGTGTATGCCTATTGGGTTCATTTTATGAATCTTATCTGTACAAAGGTAGACTGACAAAGTAAACGATGCGGTTGAACATGCACTAAGGGGGCTGGAGAGGTTTCGGGAGGGAGAGATCGAGCGAGAGGCGGAGCATATTGAAGAGATAGATAGAGAACGAAGTGAGAGGAAGGGAAAAAAAAGCAAGAGAGAGAAGAGAGAGAGAGGAAGAGGGAAGGGGGGGGGGGAGATGAATCGGTAGTAAATGAAAACGAGTGACTTCGAAATGTTTATACTTTTATGATTTCAAATAGGCCATTTAATCAGAGCAGTAGAGCAGGTCACGGGTGGCACATGTCCCAAATGACCCCTGTGGTATGTGATTTGGCGTGACAACCCGGATGCACAAGACCCAAGAAAAGAAAACATGCACCGCTTCGTTCCGGCACTGTGTACTGGTTACGCTAACCAGGGAGGTGTCGTATACAAGGAGTGGAAACTCTTGTAATTTATTCAAACGCATGCGTCAGTTTTAAAGCGTAACAATGGGACGCGTAACATTCCATTTGGCTTTGCGCTTCCATGCTCCGTGCCGCTCTTACACTGCGGGGAATAATCGGAGGCCATGGCCAGGCACCAGTTTCACATTTTATTAGGGACTTTTAGATTCGCACGAATACAAGGGGGATTGCTACGATCGACGTCATTTTAATGCACTGCCTTAAATGGACGTCACATGTATCAGTCCACGCAAATCTAAAAGTCCCTAATATCCTCTCGCCGACGAAGTCGGAGGGGATATAGTAACGCTGCCGTCCGTCCGTCCTTCCTTTCGTGCGTGCGTCCGTCCGTCCGTAACAAATTTGGTTTCCGATCGATAACTTCAGTAATGTTCGACGGATTTTAATGAAATTTGATATGAAGGTACATGGTATCAAAACACAGCCTAAGTTCAATTTCGGAGTATGTAGGTCAAAGGTCATAGCTCACTAAATATGCAAATCTGGTTTCCGATCCCTAACTTTAGTATTGTTTGAGGGATTTTAATGAAATTTGATATGAAGGTTCATGGTATCAAAACACAACCTAAGTTCGATTTCGGAGTATGTAGGTCAAAGGTCATAGCTCATTACATATGCGAATCTGATTTTCATTCGATAACTTGAGTAATGTTTGACGAATTTTAATGAAATTTAATATGGAGGTACATGGTATCAAAATACGTGTACAGCCTAAGTTCGATTTCTGAGTATGTAGGTCAAAGGTGAAAGGTAATAGCTCATTAAATATGCAAAAACACCTAATTGTATATTGTGAAAATGTGGTTAACTTCCTTGCCTAGTAATATAATAGTATAGTCCAATGGAGGTAACTTGTTCTGACGTATATAGACCACTTGTACCCTGCTAGGGGATTCTACGCTTTGCGTTGACTTGTTAAATTACCAGCAACAAATTCCAGTGTAAATTTCAAACTTTACATGGGGATTGTATTGGGAATAGCGCATCAAGCAATTTTTCAAATTTAGTAGGCCTACTCCGCCCTTCCTATAATTTTTGTGCCAGAGTTGCATGGTAAAAGAAAAATTACATCCTGACAAAAACTCAATATTTTAGGATAACCCGATTATTTTCGCATGTTTTAATGTCCCGTCATTTAATCCATGATTAACGATCTTCGATAACTTTAAGTTTGATAATGCGTGAATTCGCGTGCTTTTTGTATTTTTGCAGTTGGAAAAAAAGTATGAAATTACAATAGTTTTGTTCGCTTGTTATCAGTACACATTCAACAATTGATGAGAAATCATTGAAAGGGACAGCGAACATTGACTGAGATACCATTTTCTGATGTAAGGATTCTAAATCCTGATATTTCATGCGCTCTTTTATCTCGACACCTGGTCAACAGTTGCTAGGTAGCGCATACCTTTTCGGAGGCTAGCTTGGAGCATGCTTGGAGCATAGGAGAGCGGTTTGGTTCACTCCTTGTAAGACACCTTTCTGCGCTGACCCAACAAGCACTCCGATACACAAAGGAGGAAGGTTTAGTGTGGATAATTTCAGGCCCATTTCAATACTGCCCTCTTTGTCAAAATTTCTAGAGAAAGCCGTGCATAATTATTGTATTCTTACCTTAACCAAAATAATCTATTATCAGAACGTCAATCTGGATTCCAGAATCACATGTCTCACATAAATTACTGATTACCTTCTTGATAATATGAACTCATGTCAGATTACTGGAAAAATATTTTACGATCTTAGGAAAGCGTTTGACGTTATTCCTCGTAGCACTTGATAAACTATTTTTTATGGCATGATTAACAAGGTGTATGAATGGTTTAAATCTTACTTAATTGGTAGACAACATTGTGTTACTTTAGATAATCATTGTAGCGAGTATTTTACTGTTAAATCCGGGGTGCCACAAGGGTCAATTCTGGGCCCCTTGATTTTATTTTTTACATTAAGGATATCAATAATTTAAACTTTCATAATGATTTCAAAATATCACTTTTGACGATACTGTCATTTTTAATAATTCTAATGTTTTTTCTGAAGTTCAAGAAAATTTACAGAATGACTTTGACTTAATATGTAAATGTTTTTATATAAATAAGATGTATATACACCCTCAGGAAACTATGGTGATGTCCTTTGGATCAAAAAGAAAGTTGGAGAACAATCGTCTCTCAATTAAATTAAATGGTAAAAATTTAAAGTGTGTCGAAGCGATGAAATACCTAGGAGTTATACTTGAATCACAACTTACGTGGTCTGAAAATATCAAATATATAAGTACAAAGATATTTCGTTCTATTAGATGTATTCGTCGTATAAAACGTCTAATACCCCATTAAACTCTTGTTAACCTCTATTTTGCATTAATTTCACCACATATCAACTATTGCTGTACTGCTTGGGGGAACTGATCAAAGACAAATTAATCGAAACTGCAAAAGTTACAGAATAGATTTGCGAGATTGATTTTAAATAAGGATTACGACACACCACAATGTACGCTTTTTACGACTTTAAATTGGCAATCGGTCGAACAAAGATTAAAATATCACTACTGTTTATTAGCTTTTAAAATTATAAATGTCATGGCCCCAACTTATTTAAAATCAGTTATAAATTATCGCACCTTCAACTACTGTACCCGCTATTCATTAAATTCTCTACTTGACATCCCATACCCCAAAACCGAATTATAAAAAAAAAAGAGATCATTCTCATATAAAGCAAGCACCCTATTTAATAAACTTCCTCCCTCAATTCAATCAACCAAATCAATTCAAATATTAAAGCGCGGATGCCAATTGGCAAAACAGTTATCATAGTAGATATGGTAGGTATTATGAATGTGTGTCTAGATATTATTATTAAGTTGTTACTTTGTCTTTGTCATCCCCCCCCCCCCTCGGCCGTTCCCTCAGTGTAGACAATGACCTGTCAATAGTTGAATTGACCCTTTTTCGGGGGGGGGGGGTCGATGATACCATAAGGGTGAGAGAGATATATCATATATAAGTTCATTTCCTGTTTATGAAGTGCGCCCTCTATTGAGGAATCTTAGTGGTTTTGTGGCCCCTTGGACGCCATATTGGATTTCGTGGTTTCCTGAACCACTGCTTAAAGTTCTAACTTATCCTAATGGATTCTATGACCCCGAAAACCATAGCATAGACACCCCTCAATTATGTCTCTCGGATGAAAAATAAGTGACTTATGGCCATTTTTATGTTATGGCGGCCATTTTGGACGCCATCTTGGATTTTGGGTTTTCCTAGACCATCACAAACCATTCTTACTTGTCTCAATGGATTCTCGGACCCCCGAAACCGTGGGATAGTCACCAACATTATATCTCTTGGATGGATAATAAGTGATTTATGGCCATTTCTAGGTATCGGCGGCCATCTTGGACGCCATCTTGAAAATAACAGCTTTCTGAACCTTCGATTTTGGTCTACTTGCAGTATGTTATTCCTGAGGTCGAATACTACTAGAAACCGTTAAAAAACCTTTTGTTGCAATTTTTTTGAGGGTTGGTGTGTTTTTTACCGTATATTGACCTGACTATTCTTGTATTGCCTCGTATTGGTTTTGGAAAGCTTATTTCCAGATTTGTGGACAAGAATAAATAAATGATGATTGATCAATGAATCCAAAGGGTTCTTGCTATAGCCCTGTTTACTGGCCTTACTCGAACTAGGATGTCTCTACCGGGACCTGGGGGCGGTTTCACAAAGATCCTAAGTTGAACTTAACTCAAAGTTGGACTTAAAAATTATGGAGAGCCATTTGTAGCCTTAAATTAAATATATTCAAAAGCAAACATTATTTTAGACTTTGTATAAATTGCACATTAAGAACATGAAATCTCCTTGATATTAGAAAATATGAATGATTCGAATCAACATAATGCCTCTTAAAATATTTTTTACGAAATATTTTCATAGATGCTAACGGCTTCCCATGATTTTTAAGTCCAACTTAGAGTTAGTTTCGACTTAGAATCTTTGTGTAACACCCCCTGATCTCATATGTCCCGGTAAACCCCAGTGCTTTCTTCGTTAAACAAAAATATATATATTATCTTCTTGTTACGTATACAATGTGATAACCAAAAATTGAGAAGACTAAGAACTTATTTTATTTTGTTTTGCTCAAATTTGTTATTCATTTCAAAGAAACAACAAAAAAAGCAGAAAAGAAAAAGCAGAAATTACAATAATCTGAAGGAAAACAATGCGGTAGTTTCCCGAAGCACATTTGAGGGAGCCGTTATTGAAATCGAAATGAGGTGTATGTACTATTAGTGATATCCATTGAAAAAAGATGCTAATATATATATAATATTGAATTTCATACATCTACCTTGATTATTAAGAACATGATTACTGAAAATGAAACTTCAATGAAAAGCAGAACCATGATATTTGTTTAACACCAAGAATTAAGTTTATTGCACATTGCCAAAAAAGTTTTATAATGGTACATTTCAAGTAATTTTTGACTGTCTTGTCTTACAGTAGAACATGTGTTAGAGCCTTTCAATTCTAGATAGATGTAATCTTCTTTCCGACTATTTGAGTTGAACATTTCTGCCGCTCTTTACTATGGCAAATAACCAAGATTAATGCTGTTTAAATTCGTTGTGACGGCAAACAGAACGGGTGGCACGTAATAGAGTACCGACGTGTGACGTCATGCTGGCACAGTTGACAAGGTTGCTGGTTCTATACAAGTTTGTGCTAAACAATGGAGTGGTGATCACACCAGCGCTAAACACTGAATTTGCCCCGGTCAAGTCCGTTGCTTTAATGAGTGACAAGAGTATTGCCTCAAAATCTTGATGATTTTATGAGCAGCATACTTTTTAACAATAATGCTATCAATGTTTCCGATCAAGATCATGTTAATGCCTTTAATATAAACACATTATTCCTTTGCTCCTCGTCGGTAATGAACGATTTTTATTTAAATTACTGAATTGGTTGAGATTTTAATTTCGGAGCAACAACTCGAATGGAATGTGCACATTCCGGAACAGCCAAAGATATGTGCAGATTCCATGCGAGAACTGTTGCTCTATCCAATTAACTTAAAAGCTCTTGAGTTGTTTTATTTTTTCTTGATTAGGGATGGCATCAAGTACCATCTTATTACTGCGTGACATTTGAATTAATGGAAATACTTCAATCATGTAAAGGAAGGAATATGTAATGGATGTCAATTATATACATGATTAAGCATTGACATAATTAAGTATATGACATAAATATCATAAAATGGAGATTGAAGATTTTTCCACCAATTAACACATGACTGTGTGCTTATAGATTATACAACAGATACAAATTCCTTCAAATAGAAGGTTAGTTGAAAAAGAAAGAGGAAATTTCACCCCCATTCAGTTCAGTTTTAAAAACGGATGATAGTAAAGATTGCTTTAAATGTTAAGTTTATCTCAGACACAATGTTAACGAGTTTGAATCTATAGTTTACAGTTTAATAGTTTGTATATTGCACAATAATTGAACAGAGTTCCAATAGAAAATGGTAATGCTGATAACTATAAAACGTTCACAGAGACCTCCTCAGCGAATCTTCAAATAACATGAAGTGCTTGGATGCCAACGTAATTGATTCTTTGTCTTTGAAGTATAATTGAAGTTTACAGCATTAATACCTTAAACTACATAGCGACAGTAAAGTATACTTTAGTGTGATAGTTTTCTTCAAAATGGCGGCAGGTGAACCAAAACGTAATGACAGATATTTGAAGATCTTTGTATTATCATTCCAATATAAACACTATGCCCTTTTGCGAACAGAGATTTAAATTTATGTGTCTAGTTTGAGGAGAGTCACTTCCGTTTGTATATATATATATATATATATATATATATATATATATAAGGTGACGAGAGTTCATAGGTCACAGGTCAATTGTGGACAGCTTTTCCCCGCTCCTGCGTTGAGGTTGAGAAGGGCCATTTCCATATAGGCGTCAAAGGTGAGAAGAGTTTAAAGGTCATAGAAAAGAGTCGGATCTGCACACTAAAGTAAGTCAAGTGTTTCAAATGTCAGCTGGAAAAAAAAGAAAAAAAGAAAAGGCAAACACTTTCGTTAGAATAGAGTAGGATACTGAATGTAATACATATTTGTGAGCTAGCGGCCGAGGCGCATTAATTATTACCCCGGCTTTAGTCTAGCTGCCATTACAGCGCTCCAGCAATTCAAGGAATTAATTCTTGCCAGGTACCCATTTACCTCACCTGGGTCGAGTGTGGCAAATAAAGATTAATGCCTTGCCAAAGGCATTAATTATTTAACCACATTATTTAACCAAATTATTTAACCACAAAGATATTTATGGTTTTCTTTGAAGGCATTGTGTAACCCCCTTTACCAGTAAATTCAATTTTTCTCGAAAACAGAAGCGTTTTAGGGACTAGATTTTCTAGTGCTTATAATGCATCCACAGGGGCATCCAAATATATCAAAATTGTAAAGAATCACTATCCACCTAATTTTCAAAATTTCCCAAAACTTTGCATTACCTTTAATCGTGATTCTAGTTAATATTAACTAGGAGGGCGTGTTTAGCCTCATGGTCTTTGATTTTGAAACTGCAGCCTTTGACCACGCCCCAAATGGTCACCATGGAAACGAGCGCCACTATGCCCATCACATACACCCTCGTGCCGAACATTCCATGAGATTCTATTTGAGAGGGATAGAGAAAGAAGGAGAGAGAGAGAGAGAGAGAGAGAGAAGGGGGGGGGGGGGGGGGAGAGAGAGAGAGAGGGGGGGGGGGGGGGAGGGTTGGGGCCGAATAAAATGTCGATGATTACAAAATTAATGACACGATAATCATGTTAGTTTATTTCGTTTAAATAGAAATACTGAACGAAGTTGATTTTTTTTTTGCTTCATAAAAAAACATAATGTAGAATGCACCATGGCATCGTAGTTGCCTTTAAAACTGCATTTGGTGCGAACCACTCATAGTTCTCATATAAAACTCCTATCAACATCGATCATCATGAAATGATAGCATCTTGTTCATCATGCATAATAATCGCCATCTAACTGGTTTTCATCATTTATTAATCATGACCATTATATTCTGATAATCGTGATAATTGTCTTGCTTTGATATAATTCCCATCGTGATCAGAAACTTTCTGAAGTCAGAGGGCGCTATACATGAAATACGCCCAAATACGTGACTATTCATGCAAGATAACTTGTAGAGACAACTGTTAGAGGCATAACAAAAGTTAAGATTATAGATACTCAATCAAAATACACCTATTAGTACACATTATATACCTCACTGAAGAAATCCAGCCATCTGATTGGTCGAAATTGCATTCATAAACTTTAACTATTCCTGTAAAATTCCCGGTAAAATTCCAAACCCATGTAATAGTTCAAAAAAATAGTTCTAAAATCCAGGTTACCATGGTTACCGGGAAATAGTTCTAAAAATAGTTCTAAAATCCCAGTAACCATGGTTACCCATAGGTTTACATGTTTAAAAATGGTTTGAGCGATCGCGGATACCGTACGTGTGCGAAGAATTGGTCGGCATTTTTAGTATGGCAATATATCTCGATTCAAACAAGGCAAAAATGGCTGTAGAAACTCTCCCAAGATTTCAACTTCTGGATGAGGATCAAATTCGAGACATGCTGACAGCAAGAACACCAAAAAGCGTACGTGAAATCTTCCATATTTTTTTTTTCAGTAGGCCTAGATCTAGATTCTAGTACGCGACAACCAGATGCTGGTGATTGTAGTGATTTGTACGTCACGGGCAGATGCAGATCCTTCCCGTAAGATTACACACATCCCTATGCATTTCCATTGGCCATTGCCTTCGACCGCGTACATATGCATGTGTCACAACTATCCCTCCCACAGCAGTGCGTTATTCCCCGTTTTCGTAGATTTTGCCTGTTCTCGGTTTTTCGAAGTTGTGTCTGACCGTTATAGACGACACCTACCTTTGGACGAGGCAGCATAACTGGCATCCAAACTGTAGATGTTCAGTGGGCCATAGCTGATGGTGTGTCTGGTGCCTGAGCTGACATCACGACGTCGTACACCAGGCTCAGCTTCCCCACATACTACATCTGCCCTAGCAGCCTCAGCTTCGTCAGATTTGCATACTACAACGTCGCAGTATACGTAAATCTGGGTATTCAAATTCAAAGGAAAATCTATCTTTGACCATATCCTTTTCATTCATATTTTACAAAATACTCAAATTACATAATGCATCCACAGTCATTATTATAAATAGTTGTTTGTATAGGCCTATGCTTGTAAGGAAGCAACCATGGGATCGTTGGCTTAAAGTCCCCTCCGACGGACTCAAATTAATAATTTACGATCACTTTTCCAAGATGATATTTTTAAATATTATTTTCAAATTAAATCATAAAACGATTGCAAAGGCTTCCGAAAATCAACCTAAGGCAAATTTCAAAGCCTTGTCTATTACCTATTGAAACGAGCGAACATTACAAATATACGACAGGTTGTGAATCCAGACAGCTGATTTAAAACAGTAATTTGAAGAAGTTTACAAGCGATAGTTCATAAATCTTCTGAGATATATGTTGGACAATATTATACAGGACAAATATTCATGATGGTAAGTGCTGTTTGATGAATATTTCCCGTTAAATCCGAAGGTTAAATAGAAGTCTTAATGTTTGGTATGTGTCCGGCCACTAACCTTCATTATACTTATTTCGTAGTCCATGCAATATTTTTTTACATAGGTGATGGCGTATTGAAATTGCATTTTAGTAGGTTTTTTCTAAAGACTAAGCGACAGTTATTAAATATACTAGGAGTAAACTTAACAAAACTTAACAAAAGTTAAGAGCATGAATAAGGGTGTACAATCAAAATGATTCCCACTAAACAGAATGTACGATCAATGGCATGTTACATGTCGTTTTTCTGAAGACTCACAACTCCTAATGTTTGTTTACTCCAAAGGTTTATGATTCCGAAAATAAAAATTCGAACCCTGTATCATTTTTGGAATAACGAAAATTTGGAGCTATGAACCCTATTTCTTTTGCGGATTTCTAAACGATGGTTAATTTCCGGAATTAAGAACCCTTTTTTCATTTTCAGTATAGTGTCGCTCTAATGTTCGATATTATGAACCCCTAGTATTTGAAAATTGTGCTTCGGAATTATGAACCTTCGGAAAAACGAGGACCTCAACAAAAAAAGAAAGGGGGGGGGGGACAAATGGAATATAGGATGTACAAACTAATGGACCAAGTGTATACAAGGAGGCCCATTAAAAGTCGAGGATAAAAACAGCAATGAGATAAAGGACGTAGAATGTTAATTAGAAAATAGAAGGCTTATAAATAGAGATCATAAGGATATATAATATACAACTTAAGGGCGTAGAGGGGGTCATAGAGAAATCAGATGTACGATCACAGAAATGCAGAACCTGAAGAGGTCTTTAGGAAATACTATATACATTTATTTACCTCAGTGACGCCAGAGATTTCGTTGATGAAGCGGAACGCATCAAAAGAAAATCCTTCACGATCCAGTGAAAGGGCGTGGTTCACTGTGACTGTATCTTCTGCAGGGCACCTATAGAAAGATAAAAATCACATAATGATTGGCCCTTTGTAATGTGATACAGGGTATAGCATGGCATTGTAAAATCTAGTTCAACGGTGTAGCGTATATCTAGTTATCGAGGGAAAACTGGTGTCATGGGGGGAGGTGGTGTGGTGGTGGTGGGGGGGGGGGGGGGTAGAGCACCTGGCGTCAGCCTCGTTCTGATATGACGCGACAAAACCTCGGCGGTGTTTATTTCTGAAAACGTAAGTGAAATTCGCTTCACACTTCCTGTCGGATAACATAGAACTCAGTTAAAACGTGCGGGAACTTTGTTGCGCTCGCAGTTGCTATACATTTACTTGAAGAAAAAAAACGTCTCGCTTACTTGTGTTAGTTTGCTGCAGTTCACCGCGTTAAATCTGAACGAGATTTTACTCAGATTTACTTGATGATGGAAAATACGAGGAACTAGGCTATATTTTTGGGAGGAAGGTGGCGAAAATGGAGGTTGATACTATTTTCACGTTTCCTTCCCTCTCTTTAGCATGTATTCCGGCCTAATATATTTTTCGCCATTTGATAGAGCGTACGTAGGTCTACCGTTTAACCCGTTTCGATACATACACCTAATGGAAAAAGAACAGTTGACAACTTGACACATTGTATTGAAATTTCTGGCGTATGGGCTGATTGCCTTCAAGTGCTTCAATATCGCGGATATTTACGTACTAAATCGAAATACGCCCCGTGTGTATCAGGCATAATGTGGACGTCCAGAGTAAAACTTACTGGTCTTTGATGAGATCTTCTTTGGGATCATGATCAGGACCCTCCTCTGTAGCCCAACACTCCTTGATGACGACACCGACAACGGATGTGGAGTCCAACACCACGCCGAAATAGAGCTTGGTGCCCAGCATCACCCGACCATCCTCGACATTAACCATCTCCTCGGTGTCAAACTCATCGTTAGTAAAGCGGGTAATCTTGAGAGTGAACTTGCCGTGCTCTTTATCATTGATGTCGATTTTGCCGATTTGGGGCTTGAAATTTCCGGTCAGGACTGAGACCTTGTTCAGGCAGCATTCGACGAGGATTTGTTGGTGGTATTCCCGGGTGATAATGGCACCGGTATCACCCGCCCCTGGCTTGGCGAAGGTGATAACGTTCTGGAAGATTATGTTGTCCTCATCTTCCTGCAGTGTAGATAAACAGAGAGGGACTTCAGAATAACATGCTAGTCAACGTCATGTTAAAGCTTATCTGCCATAGTTTAAAGGAGGGATTAGACCGCCCTGCAAGGTCACTGGACAGGTGGTTATCTCATCAACTCAGCTCTCAGTTAACATAAGAAAAAGAGGATCATGGGGGACCAATGGTCACCGATTAGGCATTGTTTGTTATATAGAGGGCGCAAGTAGCTACAAGTAGTGCAGTGGGCCTTTAAGGGGAAGGGGGTTGAACCGGGCGCCCTTGTGAAACCTCAATAGCATAACTCTAGTACTCAAGTCCAAGAAATTAGTGTGCCCACCATTTTTGAGAGAACGGAGGCACAAACAGACACCATAAGTATCGGATGACAAGTCTGGAGCCTGGTTTGATGATGACTTTCCAATATCACCTGAAGCAGTGTAGATAAACAGAGAGGGACCTCAGAATAACATGATAGCCAACGTCAGTTTAAGCCTTTAAAGGGAGGGGGGGGGGGTTGACTCGGGCGATTCCTCTAGTACACAAGTCCAATAAATTAATGTTCCCACCATATTTGAGAAAACGGAGGCACAAAAAGACACCAGGGCCCCGTCTTACAAAGAGTTAATCCAAATCAGTAGGGACTTTTAGATTGAGTGGACGAGAACGCGACGAACGCCGACTGATCATGCGTATCAACGTACTCAACTGCCCATGTTGACTACAATTAGAAATCTTTTAGATTACACTCGACGATATACTTTCATGCATGAAGTAACACTATGAATATGATGGACAAAGAAAGAGGACAAAATATACAGTTCCTCATTCTACCGTCAACAGGTGAACATGCATGTGACACCTGTTCTACACATTTTTAAATAATAGCAGGGAAGGCGGATGTTCCTTCGTCTACCTGAGGAACTGTATATTTTATGCGCACGCGGCATACTAGTACCGTACTAGATTTAGGAAAATCAAGGTTGATGCATTCTCGATCGCCGACTGAGACGACGTGACGCATGCGCAGTGCCTTAAAATGACGTCACACATTGCAGTCAAAGCTGTCGACATGCAAATCTAAAAGTCCCTAATATCAAGTCAAGTCCTCCAATCAATCGCAAGTTTGCAGTCTCCCATCTCTTATGTACATAGTTGTGATAGATATCAATCACAAATAAGTTGCGATTGATATCAACTCTTCAATACAGGATCCTGAAGTATCGATGACAAGTTTAGATTGACAACGACTTTCCAATACCACCGGAAATAGTGATTTCTTGCTATTGGTTGAACATTGCCAACAAGGGGCGCATAAATTAAAATGTAATCAAAAGGGGGATTTCTATTGTTACAACATGCAGTGCCTCATGGTGGCAAATTGTCTATGCGCCCCTTATCGGCTGTGCGAGACAATAGCCGCGATGAAACACTATTTTAGGTGTTAGCGGGAAATCCATATTGATTCTCATTGGCTAAGCTTCCAAGCTGTACATGCAGTATATATATGACTTCATTCAAAGTCCATCACTCCGATTTGCACAAATTAAAATGGTAATAACATTGGATATGGAAATCTAAACAAACACCACCTTCATGATTTAGGTTCTAAGTAATGATAACCGTACTGAAAACTGGACTTTTTGTGTTGTCAACTCTTCACGTCAGAATAAAAGCCGAAACGGCTTTAAATCGTAGACGATCGCAATATTTGTCTGACGTCACTACGATCATGAGCCGATCTAGTATTTCCTCCTCGAAGGAAGCATGAAATCCCTTACAATTCAAATTATATGTAGGCCTATCATAATGACTATTCAGATCCTCGGCCATAAATAATTTGTACTATGTCTGAGTATTTATATCAAATGCCATTGCAAATTTCTTCAAAGTCGGACCGTACTTATATGATATAGTGTGCGATGGGTTTAAGTTATCTTTCTTCCGCTTGTACATTAATGTCATTAATTTCTCGACAAAAATTGCAACTTGTGGTCTACTAGAGGAGCCGCGATGGCTCTTTGGTAGAGCGGGGGTCTCGTAACCGGGAGGTCCTGGTTTCGAAACCAAGTCGATGCGCTAGTGCCCTTTGGTAAGGCAGTAATCGGCATTACCATAGTGCCCCGGAGGAGACTTAGAGCCGTCGGTTCCCTGGCTGCTAATTAACAAGCATACACATGCTTTCTTAGCACATATGGAAATGTTGTATCATCCGCTGAATCCGACTTGCGTGCATAGAACGAATGAGCATTTTTGCATGAAAAGTTTTTTAAAAAGTGCGTTTCTTTTCAGCATTCGGGTGACCAGGAATCACTTGGGTAACCTTTCAAAAAGTATTTTACAAATATGGCACTTTTTTGTACTTTTGTCGGTAAATACATAAACGCTTCACCAAAAAAATCCTGCAGCGTCTAAATTGCCATTTTGACCTGGAAGTCCCGGATGCACGGGCGCTACCTTCCCGATGAAGCCAGTGACCCGTGACCCCCTGCAGTGAACACCATGTGGAAGTTAAGCTATGGTCACAACACCTAAATGTAGCCTGCTCGGCGGCCGGGCAGCGAATTTTTTATTCCCAAACAGGTTTGCAATTTCTTATATTTCCGTTCTGCTCAATGGCTGATACGTCATTAGCAGATCGGAAAGAGGTCACAAACAATTAGAATTTGATTTTGTATTGCTTTGCCTCACTATTTATAAAGGCAAAAAAACTAAATAAACTGAGACTTGAACCCATGACTCTAAGATTGTATTACGCTGTTTTTACCGATTGAGCCAACGATGGGTTGATGAAAAGTGATTCTGCATGATTTCTATAGCCATTTCACTCACCCTAACGGTTACGTCATTGCTAGTAACGTAACATATCAGCCAATCAGATGACAAGAAATATTAGCATTGGCAAACCTGTTTGGGAATAAAAAATTAGCGGCCGGGCAGCGAGTTTTGAGCGAATTTCGCCCGGGCACCGCTTGTTTTTAGGGCATCGCTCGGTCGCTGCTAAAGTTTTAGCGCGGAGTTAAAATTCGGGCGGCGCCTGCTCACTTTCACTCGCCGCCCAGAGTACGCTCGGTGCCCGGGCGGTCGCCGGCCGGGCACCGACATAATCGAGCGTTCGCCGTCGAGCGATTTAGATAAAAAAAAATCGGAGCCGCTAGGTCAAAGGCTGCCAAGCAGTCGCCACTCGGTCGCCGCCCAATCGCCGCTTGGAAATCAGTCGGTCACTGGGCGGCGAGTCTAAAATCGGTCGGCAGCCTTTGACCTAGCGGCTTTGATTTTTGACCTAAATCGCTGGACGGCGAACGCTTGATTAGGTCGGTGCCAGGGCAGCGAACTCCCACGCACCAAGCATATTTTGGTGCCCCGCCGATCACCGGCTGGCCGCCGGGCAATTTCTTTAAAATCAGCCGGTGGCCGGTGGGAGACCGCTCGGGAATCGGTGGGTCATCAGTCGGTCACTGCCGTGACGCCGCCCGGAGAAGCTCACCGATTTCGCCCATTTTTGACCTAAAATCGGCAGGTGATCGACGGGAAATCGACAGGGCACCGCCCAGGTATCGCTGGGGCTCTAGAGCCTGCTCGATTTCTCAACAACAAAAAAAAAAAATCGTTGGGCGATGCCTAATATCCTGCGGCGTTCAAGCAGGCTACTAATCGGTCGGTCGTCGCTCTGAGTTGTGACCATAGCTTAAGTTTGTGGTCAATTTCTTTCATTGAAAAATTCAAGCAAACGTTCCCAAACAAAAACAGTGAATATTATTGTTTACTAAACCGTAATCCTCTACATACCTCAATAGTAGTGTCGCAATTATCGTATGCTGTGGTCATCTGGATGTGGGTTGAATTAGAGTCAGTGGCAAGACAGTCCCCTGCTTGGGACCGAAAATGGACATCTGACGCGTCACTATTCATTGGTAATAGACGTTTATCCAGAACCACAGTCATTGTGGTACTGTCACATCGAACGTATGATACTGTAGATAGCAAATGTAAAGATACATTCATACATTTATGTATCAACAACGACGACGACTACAAATATTACTACTACTACTACTACTACTACTACTAGAACAACTACTTTTGGTACTACTTCTACTACGACTAGTAGTGATATTATTATTACTACTACTACTACTACTACTACTAATTTTACTACTACTACTACTACTTATTTTACCACTACTACTGCTTACAAGTTGTTACTATCCGTTGATCTGGAAAACACTTTCTAACATCAGCTGAAAGACAAACTCAATACTCTTTCTCACAAGGGATGTATTAAATTTAAATGATTTTGTTTGATGTATTACAAAAAGGCCCTGTTTCATATAAACTTCTTATCAATAGCAACTGCCATAGGTCTATGATAAATCTGCTCACAGCCAATCGAATGCAAGGATTTTGGTAACTTATAACAAGTATCGTAACTTGTTATGAAACAGGATCAAAGACGCCGCACCCTAATAGAAATATAGCTCTCATGTTACCAAAGGATTAAATTCCCATTGTGGATTATATTTATGATCAAGATTAGGTAATGTGTTTTATTCACCCATTCTTGTATTCATATATCCCATTGAAATAATGTCCCCGGGGGTGTTTCACAAAGATCCTAAGTCAAACTTAACTGTAAACTGGACTTATGGAGAGCCATTTGTAGCCTTAAAATAAAACATATTCAAAAGCGAAAAATCAAGTATTTCAGACTTTTGATAAATTCCACTTTTATAACATGAAATCTCATTGATAATAGAAAATATGAAAGATTGTAATCAACAATTTATGCCTTTTAAAATAACTTTTACAATTTTATTTTATAGATGCTAATGGCTTTTCATAAATTTTAAGTCCAACTTAGAAAAAAAAGTTAAACGTAGGATCTTTGTGACCCCCCCCCCGATTACTTAAAGCGTCATTGTAATGTTCGCACATTGCAATGAGTGATGAGCAAGGTGGCGCCAGTACTAGTCGCCTCAACCCAACCTTCCGCATCTAAACCGTGCGAAGTCTTATTTTCATTTTCGATTGTAACAAACAACCCTCATGAAAGGTCACATATACTCCCGAGTGTAAGTGGGATCATCCACGCGGTCAACTTACGCTACACTCTAGTCGTGTCAGCGAGTTGCTCCTGGATAATTCAAGGAGTAAATAGGTCGAGGTAAAGGTAGGCGTAGCTAACAAGACCGTCGTTCAAACGGCCACTTCTCCAACCATTACACCTACCTCACCGTGTTTACCCCGACTAGCTCTTTACACGACCTTTACCCCAGGGTAGATTGCCTTCGTCTGAACAAGACTAATGAGTGATGGGCTAGGTTATTGAAATTGCCATATGTTGACTTCTTTTCTCGAAAGGCTTTGCGATCATGTTGATAGTAATAATTGATGATAATCATAAGATCAATTAAAATAGCGCACCAGTGATGAAAAAGAGGCGTTTACGAAAATGGGAAATAGGCATTTGTTGACGGAAAAGGGGCACCCGTCAGATTTTGATAAGGGCATTTATAAGAGGTGAAAAGGGGATAGGTCCCTTATTAGAAAGGAAAAGGGGCACGTATCATTATTAAAAGGGGAATTATCAGAGTTGAAAAGAGGCACTGACCAGATATGAAAAGGGGCACTTATGAAAATCTAAAAGGGGCACTTATAATAAAGGAAAATGTGCATTTGTTGAATGAAAAGAGGGCACCGTTCAGATTTTTAAAAGGAGCAGTTATGAGAATGGGAAGGAGCTCTTTCTTTTTAATGGGGGCACTTATCATAAGGAAAAGGGGCACTTATTAGAAAGGGAAAGGGGTAGTTATGAGAAGGGGAAGGAGCTCTCTCTTTTTAATGGGGGCACTTATCATAAGGAAAAGGGGCACCTATTAGAAAATAAGAGGGGCACATGTTAAAATGAAAGGTGTGCTCATCCGAGTTTAAAAAAGGGGTAGTTGTTAAAAGGAGAAGGGGCACTTCTTACAAAGGAAAAAAGGGGAAGTTGTCAAAGTAAAAGGAGCACCTCTCAGTTTTGAATAGGGCAATTAACAGAGGTGAAGGGGGCACTTATTAAAAATGAAAAGGGGCACTTCTCGTACCTGAAAAGAGGCACTTACTAGAGATTAAAAAGGGCACTTATTCAAGATAATTTCAAGATTTATGAGAATGGAAAATGGACACTTATTGTAAAGGAAAAGGGGCACGTGTCAAAAATAAAAAGGGCACTCGTCAGAGGTGAAAAGGGAAAAGGGGCACTTTTACTAAGTAATATTGGCACTTGTCGAAGTAAAAGGGGCACCTTTCCTATGTAAAAGGGGCACTTCTTACAAAATAAAAGGGGTACTTTCCTATGTAAAAAGGGGCACTTTTGGGGTATCTGAAAAAGTGGAGGGGCACTGTGCCCCCCCTGCCCCCCGGGAGGGCCGCCTCTGAGTTCAGACTTGTATACTCACAGTTGTCTTCGCAAGAAATGCCTCCTTTACCAATAGGGCAAGTACATCGTCCATCTTCACACGTTCCTCCATTCTTACATGGATTCGGTTCGCAGGAATCTGCCGGATAATAATGGTCCTTGTTAGCGAGTATCCTATTTTTCCACGGTTAAAGCCCGTACAAAAGATAAACCCATTCTTATAATACATGTATTGGATAGTTATGAGGTCAATATAAGGATTTTTCGTTGCACACCTTACTTTCGAGGCTTTCGCTTTCTCTGCCGTAGTTTACAGGAGGGATTAGAGCGCCCTGCAAGGTCACTGGACAGGTGGTTATCTCATCAACTCAGCTCTCAGTTAACATAAGAAAACGAGGATCATGGGGGACCAATGGTCACCGATTAGGCATTGTTTGTTATATAGAGGGCGCAAGTAGCTACAAGTAGTGTAGTGGGCCTTTAAAGTGTTGTTGTTCGGATATGAAGCAGCAAATCCTCGCCTTTTTGTTTATAGATAGTTTGTTTTAACATGTGACGTACTGTGTGAATGGCCATTCATTACAGAAAATGTTGAGTTCTGGGAAAAAGTGAAAAATAAATCTGTGAGCGTTTTCATTGTTATAATGCAAATGTGGAAGATCATCGGGAAAAAAATGTTCCCTGAAAAGCATGGATCTTCAAATGCCTTTATATTCTAAATATAACAGCTTAAAAATATGGGCCTCATTTTTTTACCACATGTTTGTGTCGTCCCATATACATCTTTCTGTGTAAAGTGCTTGTTACTTTTACCAAGAATGGGCCAAAATTCTAATCATTTGATGAATCCAATACTTATATGCTACATGATCAATCTTTTCTGATCGATACGACACCGTTTCTTTCACAATGCAATTGCATGCCCAAGGGGGGGGGGGGGGTGGTGTTTCACAAAGATCCTAAGTCAAACTTAACTCTAAGTTGGACTTAAAAATTATGGATAGCCATTTGTAGCCTTAAAATAAAATATATTCAAGAGCAAAAATTCCAGTATTTTTAATAGACTTTTCATAAATTCCACATCAAGAACTAGAAATCTCCTTCATAATAGAAAATATGAATGAGTTGAATCAACATTTTATGCCTTCTAAAAAAACTTTTACAAAATGTTTTCAAAGATGCTAATGGCTTTCCATAATTTTCAAGTCCAACTTAGAGATAAGTTCAACTTAGGATCTTTGTGGAACACCCCCCAGAACTCAACGTTATTTTTAAATTGATTGCGATCGTGTTCATAGTAATAATTCGATCAATTCAAATAGTGCAGCTACTATATAACTATACTCTACAGCGCTGTGACGAAAACAAAACTCCTAACAGTGCTACTTTACAGACGCACAATAAAAAACTATGTAGAAGCTCCTGAAAAAAAAGGTGCGTCTCCAAAAAGCTTTGAAGACAGCAATAGATGAGGATTTTCGTGGGTCCAGTGGTAGGTTATTCGAGATATGTTTTTTAAAGCTTCCACAATTTTAAGCTGTTTGAGATTCGGATCAATGTTGCTCCAGTAGTTTGGTCAGGTGTATGAAATTAGCTTTTTGGTGAAACTGTCCTGGTTAGAGGAAGATGATAGTTTGTTTAAACGTGCTGCGTGTCGTAATTGGTATGTGTGTATAGCGTATATTTTTTAAAGAGTTCAATTATGGCTAATGGGAATTCTCGTCGGGATAACTGAAACATGAATATGCCGAGATTTGAAAGGTATTAATCTTTAATTTTTTAAAGTCTGTCTTTCAAAAAAAAAGGGTATGTGAGCAATAATTAGCTTTATTCATCACTCTGACTACACGTTTCTGTAAACGAAGTATTCTCTTAAGATATGCGGTGTTTGAATTACCCTAAGCAAGAATGCCATAATGTAAAAACGGTATTATTAGGGTTGATTAAAATATAATTGTATTTTGTAAGGGAATTAAAGTCTAAATTTGTTTATCAAACCAATATTTCCTGAAACAAGTCGGCAGAGCATTTCGAAATGTTTTTGCCAAGATGATTTGTTGTCAATTTTTATTCCGAGAAATTGTGTATATTGAACACAATCAGGGACTGCTCCATTTATGAATTCTTCACCCGGAAGTGAGTCAATAATGTTGCTATACAGTGTGAGTAAAAACAAAGTTTACACCTAGAAAATTGCTAATTATTCTAAAAATCATCTATGAAAAGTAAAATATAATTCATCGTATAGAAGGGTGTTTTATCCCGAATCATTTAGTATCATTTTGTGTGTTATGTGTTCACGCTTGGATGAACAGGGGGCATTGTTGCGAGAGTGGAAACATCAGCAAATAAGATTAATGATAAGATGGTAGATGCGCTTTTAAGATCTTCAGCAATTTGAACTGGGTCTGAGTTGAATCATCTTGCGCGCGAAGTTCCTGTGTTCTTCTTTACGCAGGGTTCTTATTCAGTGCAAAGTTTATTAGTTGCCATTATTTTTCTAAAGATCCTTTTTATGAGATTCAAACTGGTAACAACATTAATCATTTATTGCAAAACGCAAATTACTAGTCAATCTATTTTTAAATTTGTTTTACTTTTGCTCACTTGAAGTTGATTTGCTATTTTTGTACATTTTGTAAAATAATCGTGTTGTTGATGCGACGTAGGAGCGAGTTTTTTTAAATCCAGGGTTGACGGGGATTTTGTGGTAATTATTATTTTGTGCCTGACGTTTGCAGTGGTATATCTGTGTTGAATTGTGAAATAAAAGTTATAAGAAATCTTTTCAAATGATTAATATGTGTTTTCACAGTTGTTAATATGCGACCAGTCTAATAATTAAATTTTGTTTAAATTTGTTCATATCATCCTCGTTTTACGTTCCATTGTCAATTTATAAAATTTGTCCTTGCCACTTGGGTGAGGTCTGATCAAGAAATTTGGGAAGTGGTCGCTGATGTCGGTCAAAATTATACCCGTAAAAGCGTGTGTTTGATGATTTGAAAATATGTTGTGTATATGTGTTGCTGAGGAATTTGTGATGCGCATTGATGTGTTAATTACAGGAATTAATGTGTAAACATCTTTAAAAGATAGCTAAAAGACCAAATTAAAATAACATATGAACAATCCTTTTATTGTCAACAAAACTGTTGAGGTATATCCATCACAACATTCCTTTAATTTACAAAATTACCATGGAATCAAATTACGTATATAATACTTTGTATTATTCGCATGTTGTCAGAAGGAGGTTGGAATGGGGTAATTTTTTTCTGAAGGTTATGAAAAGGGCAGTGTGGAAGCGGCGTCAAAGTTCGATGACTACTTCATCGCATTAATGTTACAGTCGCCACACTTTCACAGTTATGATATAGTTCAAAATCCATATGTGGTATTGGTTAATACAAAAAGAGGACTCTTCTGATAACTGGATATTTCAGTTCCAGTAATACAAATTGTAACCGCAGCTATTGAATTATAGTCCTTACCATCACAAGAGATACCGACATCCTCATAATGCTCGCAGTCATGACGTAGAAGTCCGAAATGATTGCAGGACGCGATGCTAACTTCCTGTCCAGTACATACAGGATATTCAAGAACGATTGAGCCGTTACCTTCACCGTACTTCCCGGAGGAGAAGCGTAAGCCACGCTGGAAGCCAAGAGAACGACAGGCAACATTCGTAGCTACCTCACGCCACCCATGATTACATACCGTTCCCCATCGGCCTTGATAGAAGAGTTCGAGACGTCCCTCGGCCTCTGTGCTGCCACCAACCAGTCGGGTGGGTGGGATCCCAATGTCTGTCGTAGAAGGCGTTGTCCAAGGTTGTGATGTCGGAGGAGGAGGTTGTGGGTGTCATTGGTGGTGTATGGCAGCAAGAAGGGATTAAAATATATATTGTATGAGAAAAAAATACCTTGTTCCTCCAAGAATCAATGTCTTTTGTTTTTCGATGAGGTTTTTCCAGGTTTATGGCCCTGGTACAAATTGAAGGTGTAACTGAGTATATGTGGCGAGGTGAGGTATTGGACGTGATACAATTTAACGCGAATAAATAACGTTAATCTTACGATATCCATCTAAATTGCGAGATTTCGACTTTCAATTGAGTTGACATGAGATTCAATTGTGATATAGAATTGTAATAGATAGTTGAAGAGGTATATAACGCAACAAAATCGCCGATTTTTTTTTTCTAGATTATTTGAAATAAAGTTTTAGCCAGGCAAATTTTAAATTAGGTGAGGTTTATCGCGGAGCCATGTTTCACTTAGGCCAATTATAGAAAGGGGTAAAAATATATTTTCAACCAAGTTCTTAATTTGGTCCAAGTTTTTACTTATTTGTAAAGCGCTTAGACATTTGTAATAAGCGCTATATGAAAATTAAATATTATTATTATTACTTAAAGGTACTATGTCCCATTTGCAGGCCCCAAAAATGAAAAGGTTAAATTTCAACGGCATTTGAAAAATAATACTAATTTAGAACTTCCCTAAAAACAAGGGGGCTTAAATGGGAAAATAACGACTATTAGTTGTCGAATCGAAAAGAGCTATCATATTGCTCCGGTTGTCTCATTTTCGCTCGCTGGAACATTGCCAGCACAAACCACTGACCTCTACCTCCTGGACGGATCATCGCCCATTCCCATTCACTATACGTTACGTACTAAAAGGCTGTATTGTCTGACCGTTCATGAATATTCATGTTTGTGCTTACCTCGGCAAAATGCTTGCCTCTACTAAATGGAAAAATTACGGTGGGGGTTGGATGAAATGGACATAATGAACAAATCAGAACTGATCTATGATAATTCATGCTTCTTATCCTTCGTGTGCTTGACTTATAACCTTACAATCGCGTGGTAAATTGAGTCCAAAGTTCGACTTGTTGTACATGTGTTATATAGGCAATGGCAAGCTTGCGACCTATTTTAATGAAATTACGGTGGGTGAACTTTCAAAAGTCAATGAGACATGAGGGTTCCAATGAAACAGCTAGTGATAACGTACGTCGGAGTGGATGTGCTTTTCGTTTAAATAAAAAATGGATTTGTAACAATTTTTTTGGGGGTAAAAATCCATAGGCTAACATATTAGGCTGCTGACTCTGACGATAGGGGACGTTGTCAAATGAGACTAAACGGAGCTATATGAGCGCCAGTAAGTAATAGTCTGATTTTCAGACCATTGTACCGGATGGTCGTACGTTTTATGCTGCGCAAAGATTCAATCAGTTTAGTTTTGGCCATTACAAGAAGTGGGTTATTGATGTAGACAAATGTTCATGTACCCTTTACAGCCCATTGTATGTACGTTGTTACCATAGAAGAAAATAAGCTAGTCAGTCACTCAATAGTGTCTGACTGTAAAGTCTAGCAAGTAAACGGGTTTCCTTGCATAATTTGAATACGAGGGCACTGCTAATGTGTGAATTTCACAGATAGGACATACATGACATATTCATAATTCCTGTAAAGTTTTACAGCATTTGAGGTTGGCTGCAAAAGGGACATAGTACCTTTAAGCTTCGGATGTTAAGGTGAAAGTGCTTCTTGTTGCGTTGGAACAATATTTTCAGTAAATTTATTTAATTTCTAATATTTGCAAGTTGTGGTGCTGTAGTAGTATCATTGGGATCAATATGGTATACATATCCAGGATTTTGTTTGCATAAACGACTTATAGCATTTAGTTCATTTTGGTCCACACGTGTGTGCTCTATTGCATTAGTGTTTAGTCGTCGAGCTGTGGATATATAATAGATTGGGCTATTTTGAGCACCTTACTGACTGCCCCCCCCTATCATGATCCCGGTCGTCGAATGTCCGATGAACAAGAACATTTGCAAGTTTGTAGATATTTACGTAAGGAACAAGATGGTATAATTAGTTTTTTTTCCTAATATGCACATTTTTGTCGTTATAGCCTAATTAATTATGCAAAATGCTAATTTAATGCATTTTACAGAAAACTCTACATATTTGTCTGTAGACTTGTGAAGAATCTTGAAAATATATTGAATAACTGTTTCCTTCATCTCAAATTCATGAGGTTTCATTATTTTTATGATATTTGAAAATGCATAGGTTAATTTGCATAAATTTTGAATACGCAAATTACGCATTCATGAATATCAAATCTGGAAATATACAGAGAACTAGAATCATTACAAAAATTGTCAGACCCCACTTTTTGAATGTTAAAACTCATAATTCATATGAAACTTCTTTTCTAACACAAAATAGTTATTTTGATGTAATTAATAATGATCATTCATGCAAATTCGATACGATTTCCAAATATTTATTTTCTTAAGTATTTTATTGTTTTTTTAAAATTTCCTTTTATATGTATTGTTTTATTTGTAATGTATTCTTTTGTTCTGGAATACATCAAGTTACTTTGAGAAACATATAAAAGCAATTTGATATCAATTCATATCTCCCACTTAGGAAGAAATACATCTAAACCTGTATTCACATTTCTGCTTGTACATGATTATAGGTACTTATAGCACTTGTTGATGACATGCGCATACTAACTGTTATGTAACACCTATTTTTTGTCCACGGGGGCTCTTCCAAAAAAAAAAAGAGCTACCGTAAGCCTTCTCACGGGGGCTCTTTTAGTGCTGACGGGGGGCTCTTATTTTAATACAAGTTTCCATTGAATTGGTACCCATGAAACTCCTAAATTCCTTGGTATTTTATCATTATCATTTATTTAAGTCGGCATTTTCCCTCGGCATTCTCTCCATTCTTCCCGCTCTGCACGTAATTCCCTCCTCATTATTCGGAGCAACCTTATTTACATTCTTTCTTTACATTTGGTCTTTACCATATCCTTCCAAAACACAGGGGCGGATCTAGCTTTTTGCTAAGGGTGGAGGGGGTAACCCATATACGATGTGGAGTATCGTCCACGATCCGCGAAGTGGCGAGGATATTTTTTGGCGCTATTTTGAACCCCCGTTAGTGATGTTTTCCTGGCAGCTACTGACATCTACTTATACTGTGTAGGTCTGGACACGTGATAGCATTTTTCTATGCAAATCACATTTTCACTTGGGGGGCTTCCAGCTCCCCCCAGTACAGTAAGGGTTAAAACGCGATAGTAAATCATACTGAAATTGTAATTTCTTTACTTACTTGTCAAACTAGGCAAAATATGAGGTTCTTTTAGCAGAATGAAGATGGATGTAATAAAGAGGTGTATTTGACAACATTTTCCCCAACATTTTTGGGTAATAAAACAAGTATTTGTCAGTGACCTTTGATATGAAACCAAGTTACTTTCTAGCCTTCACTGTCAGACACTATTAAGTGATCGACTGACTTCTTTTTTCTGTGTTAATATCATACATACAAATGAGCTGTAAAGGGTACATGAGCATTTTTCTACATCAATAACCCACTTCTTATAATGGCCAAAATTAAACTGATTGAATCTTTGAACAGCCCAAAGAGTAGGACCATTCGGTACAATGGTCTGAAAATCAGACTATTTTATTAAATGAGGGCGCCCGCTAAATTAGATTTGACAATTACTCACGGTCGTCATTTTCCCACAAAAAGATATTATCAAGCCCTTTTGTGTTGAGGGAAGTTCTAAATTAGTGTTATCTTTCACATGCCTTTGAATTAAACCTTTTCGTTGTTTAGACCTGCAAATGGGAATTAGTGGGCCTATCTTTAACAAAAAAGAGCGTGCGTATGAGGTTCAGCGCGGTATTGTTCAAGCAACGGTCTGAAGCAGGGCAAATGCGACTCCAGCAACGCATAGTATGATAGTTGTCAATGCTAATGCGTATTGACCTTTAGCGCTTTATACATGCTGATCGAGAGGCATCAATTGCACACAATATACACATAGCACACAATTGCACACTAATGCACACAATGAATACGAAGTGGCTGATCGGCAATTTTGACAGTAGGCTCACGATTTTAATTTTCAATTTTTTTTTTTTCACACCGGTAAGTTGAAAAGATTGTATTTACTTCTACTTAGGTGTCATCAATTGTCACTACCGATTTTGAGTGAACTCAGTTGAGATTTGTACAGTAGTGTTTGAAATTTTGAGAATCAATAGAGGTCGTCTAAACATATTTTAATACGCGAAAAGTATACTAATGCTGCTATGTGTGGGAAAATGTTGTGTTAAATTGGGGCTGGTTAGATCACCACCTCAGTATGTTTCATAAAACTGTTTGGAAACAGCAACCTTTACAACTTTACCAGTGTGACGACACGCGTCAGTACTATATTTACCTTCCACGCCCGGTAAGACGTTGGTGACATCATAGATCCAACGCCCGGGGACGCCTGCATTACTGGAAACCTGCAAAATGGTCCGGTCAAACAAAACCCTGCTTGTACCAGGAAGGATATAGGAATGCCTTCTATTGCCATTGAAGAGTCCACCCTTAAGACACGGATAAAAAGGAAGAAACAATAGTAAAAATGATGGCAAAGACTTTAAAGGCACACTGTCCTACTTGTAGCTACTTGCTCCCTCTATAGTGAAAACTTCCCAAATCGGTGCCTGTTGGTCCCCCATGATCCTCTTTTTCTTATGTTAAATGAGAGCTGAGTTAATGAGATAGCCACCTGTCACAGTGACCTCGATAGCTCACTGTGTGGTCTAATCCCTTCTGGCTGAAGTAGTAAAGCCTACCTTTAAAGAAATAAAGTCGATGGCAAGAGACCTTCGTGAAAGAGTCATGAATATAAGTTTACCGACAATCCGTTGGAACGCGTTGCCATTGACAACGGGATGTCGGTTTAACGTGATGAACTTGATTTGAGATGAAATCATATCCCTTTGTACCATCTTCGATGAGGCCAGGAGAAAATATGTCAGGCATGTGCTTAAAGGGATAATTGAGTTCTTGTTTCAGACCGCAGATGCCCTCAAAGTGGTGACACGACATTTGCTCCTGCGACAGTTGCTCCGGGCTTTATTTCGTCTAAGATGTAGGGTTAGGGTTAGGGTTTCAATAGGGTTTTATGTTAGGTTTAGGGTTAGGTTTAGGGTAGGGTATAGTGTTGAATCCAGGGTTGAAGTTAGCCATTCGATTAGTGTATGAAATTTACAGCGGAGCAATTGTCGCCGGAGCAAATGTCATGGAATCCTCAAAGTGGATGGTTATAAAACTTATTGCTTCTATTCTTATTTATGATATTTCTAGTGCTGTTTTATGACCTAAAATTGCTATGAAGGTAATTTAGACCCCATAATATGTAAAATATAGCCAATACGATCATGCCAATTCAGCTCAACTTTAAAAAAAAACACAGTGACCGTTAATTAATTAATTGATTATTAATAATAATAGATGAGCCGGCTGGCTGTGCGTATTATAACAAACACGAAAAAGACAACAAAAAGGCAACATCAGCTTTGGCTTGAATAAAACGTATAAGGCGCTATTTAGTTTTTTGAATGCAGTGGCTGGTTCAAATTATCTAATATTTGTGGTGGTACAAATGTTTACTTATGATATATTTATGGATATATCAGCCGTCTCTGAACCGATTTTGATCAAACAAAGATGATTTTGTCACTGTTTGATGTTCTTTAAATTTGACACTCATTTTGCCATTATCTCACCCAAAAATGATTGTGTGTAGCTCCCTCTGCAACATAATTCAAATATCCCTTTAAAGGGACTGGATCGGCAGTTTCCATGTGCAGAAGGCCATTATTCGCTGACACCAGACTTGGTGGAAATACCATTAATGGGAGTACAAATCTGCACACAGCAAACCCGCTGGCCAATTACCCCCTAATCGCTCGGAGAGCTTCGGTGAGGGAAAAGCGAAGCATTACGTAAGGTCTAATGGTCATAAAACTGAAGGCAAACCCTGGTGATTGACAACACCTGTTATTTAGTAAACACCCGAACGGTGTCGAATTCCCCATGAGAGCTGACTTCTATGTGACTTTAATTGGATCTTTCTTGCAGATATGTAGACAAAATATTCCTGCCTAGTTGCAAACTAATTTGCCACTTTCAAAGGGAAATATGCTTTTGTATCATTTTGTATTGATAATTACTTTTCGCTACCACTCGTCTGATAATACGAGCAGTACAATGGCTTACCTTGACAGGAGGCAAGCGAAAGAAAATGAGGCAACATTTCTAAAATATCAATAAAAATGACTCGACTGGGCATGTGTGGGCACTTATCTGAAATATAACATCATAAAGAACTGTACTCGTAATCCGAAAAGTATCAATTGCAGGTTTTAAGATTGTATCAATTTACTATTTTTCACAAATTAAAACTGCTATTATACAATGTATGCACATTTCCCCCAAACGACCCTTGAAAATGGGTGGGGATTTCGAATGAGTAGGTGTTTCGAGGCTTGAGTGGCACAACCCGTCCAAACCGATTATGGGTATCCCCCCCCCCCCCTTGGGCTTCGTCCCTCGCAATTCCTCCCCCCCCCCCCCCCGGTCATGAAAATAAATCGCCGCCCCTGGCTATAGCAAAGAATATGCTGAGTGAATTCCATTTATAGAGATGCCATTTACATAGCAGGTGAATCAAATAAGCCATATTCAGACGTGTCTTCCTAGTCGGCGTAAGTTTTTCCCTGCAGCAATAAATATTCCATAAATATTCAACTTACAGCATTAGTTGTCTATTCGCTCTTACTCGGACCAACTTGCCACCATAAAGTTAACACGACCTTCCACCGACCCAATGGTAGCTCAGGCACTAGTTGACCTCAACCCATCTAAACCGCGCGATATCTAATTTTCATTACAATTGTAAACAATCAACCATTGTGAAAGGTCACGAAAGAAGGTTGGCATTTTCACGTTAATTTTCGAGCTCAATTTAATCCAGAAATGGCAAGATCATCCAGTGCTATTCTATTCCTATTAATTTCCGTTTTTCTTTAGAGTTACTCTTTGACGAATTTGTACCGAACCTCTTTGGATAAACATCATTGGACCACGACAGCCCCACCTGGACAACGCGCGAATATGTGTTTAGCACTTCGGTACGCTATTGAGTGAAAGATTGTCTGATTGGCTCACTTTGAATCGTCGGATCATCGCGTCCGGTCATGTGGGCGCGTTACACGATCTTTCATGAAACGAAAGTAGAGCTCATGTCGAGATTCACGTTAAGGAGGCGAACTTTCGTAAATTGGCCGTAAGGTTTTCACAAAAATCGTCGCGTAAATTGGACCAGACAAATTGTAAATGGGAGGGGTTCGTTTCACAAACATCACCCCCGACATTTCGTGAATGAAGGGGCATGTTTTTACAAAAGGCCGGGTAACGCGACCATCCGACCCAACGCGATGACCCGATGATTCTAAATAAACAGTCTGATTAATGCTGCACCTCTGCTGGATATATGGCCCCCGCAGTCGAAACGAAGTTGAGAACGGCATAAGTCTTTCCCCCGGTCACCGCAAGGACAACCTGAAAAGTCTAAATGAAAAGTATAGCCCCAAACCGGATTAGTCAGAATGAAATTGGTCATGTACATAAACTTTATTGCTGTCGTTATTATCACTGTCATTATGATACTCATAACAAAACTAAAGATTATAATCTAAATAATAATAATGATAATAATAATAATAATAACATGGAGACTGACGAGGCTTCTTTGAGTGAAAAAAAAATATTATTTACATTTTCGTTATGGGAGGAAACCATAAGTCTACTATTACTATTTCTATTATTCTATATAATGATAATGATATTACTATTATTATTATATGTATTACTATTATTATCATTATTATTTATCATTATTATCATTACCATTAATTTTGTTATTATCATTATCATTATCATCATCAACATCATCATCATGATAAGCACTTTTGTTTCATTTGGTTTTTAATCTGTTTACTGCACCATGTTTTAACGAGGGCTTAAATTTCAGCTTGCATGGGGAAAGCACAGTATTGAGTGATCACGCCTCTGCGTTTCTGTAAGGCTTTTTCGCGACGTCCAAACCATTCCGTGAACTCGCAAGCGGTAGCGTACTAACTCATAGCCTGCCATAAGGCTGCAAGCACGCTATCGTTATAGTGCTTTGTACATGCGAGTGAGCCATCGCTTCAGTGCCATTTGTGTGCAAGCACGCATTCGTAATAGCAGTTATTGTTCATTCTCATTGAACTGTGCTGTGTGTTTTGCACTCGCTATGCATAGAACCATCGCGTTAATCAGATTATCTCCAAAACAACCTGGCACGGGGGATTTGAGGCTTCGCACAATGGGGATTAGCCCCGTGGCGTGATAAGAGTTAAAGTGGCATGTTCCCCGTATTCCAGAGGGCGTTCAAAATACGTACCCGCTGGCGGACGGTGCTAGCTGCCTATTGACACCAACAGAATACGGCTCTTACGCAGATGGCATGTTCCGAATGCCCGCACAATGCCGATTATCGCATACATGTGCCAAAGTAATACCAATCGCAGTTCGGTTCTAAGATTCGGCTGCTGTTTCCGCCCACTTTCGTGACGTCAGGATCGGCAGCGATCAGCTGGCTTGACGAAGGCAGGCCAGGCTGCGCGTACTTTGATTGACAGCTGTATGCAAATTAGAAGTCGATCTTCGGAACCAAGATGGCGATGACTAGAGCAGCGATAACTACAATGGCGGGAACGTGCCCCTTTAAGAAACAACCATATTCAGAAATGTAGGATGTAAAAACGTGACATGAAAAAGGTTTCCAAAGTATTCTAAAAATGGCGTGTTCAAATGGGAAACAAATGCAGTCAACCGTTCATACATAAGTTTCTATTCAACACATTCACTGACTTCACTTCTAAAATTAAAAGTTCACTAATGGCATCGAATGCAGAGTATTAAACAGTTGTTTGATAAGATGTAGGGGTTTCATTATTACGATCTGTGTTATAAGCGACCGCTTGTGAGTTTCCGTGACCTTGGATCGTGCGAAAGAGCGTTACAGAGACTTACCCCGTGTCCACACACACATTATCGTGATTAGGCGTGATTGGTTATACCGTTTCGGGATAGTTATACGATGAAATTATGTGTGTGGACGCTTACTAACGATAGGTCGTATAACGAAACGTCGTATAACGAAACGATGCCCAAACATGCGTTTCGTTATACCACGTATAAAGAATCACTCCTAATCACGCCTTAACACGGAGTGTGTTGTGTATGGACGTAACTAGTATAACTAGTCGAACTAGAACGTTATAACTGGGCGGGGTTTAACGTGACCTCGAGCGGAAGGAGACCTGACCTCTCATTTCCGCTTCCATTTCATGATCGCAGTAGCAAACTGCGTACCTATACGACATTTCGCTGTAGAGTTTCAGGATTACTTTCTTCTGTGTGTGGACATCCTAGAATTTATACGACGTTTCTTGGGTATGGACACCCTGAAATTTATACGATGATTCTTTATACGACGTTTCGTTATATTCGGGATAAATTGTTTTGTGTGTGGACACGCTGGCAGAAGCGGGATCACTCATAACTGTGTTTTGCTCAAGCTCTTGAGGGTAATTTTGTGTCTACAAATAAGCCGGCTTCGCGTCGCCTTTTTATGAGCTGACGTTGGGGTACACTCCACGTATTAAAACAAGCGCTTAACATTTTCGCGCGGATCGCATTTTTTTGCAATCTCATCGACATCGCGATCGTACATGTACATGTGCCAGACCCCGATATCAAAGCGCGCCTGGTGAAATATTGATATATGATGACGGGTCATGTCACTTCCGTTTAAAAGCCGGCTCCGAGTCCACTTTGGTGTTACATCTACTGATTGCGGGACTGAGTTCGGACTCGGGCCGACTTCAAACCACTTCCAAAGGTAGACGGGGATGGAGGCAGCCCCAGTCCGGTTTTTCAAAAAAGTTGATGTTACACATTACGTCGAGCCAGCTCTGGAGGCAGCATCAGTCCACTTTCAGAGGCATTTGTAAACGGTGTCATGGTCAAGAATTTGCAGCCACAGAATTACCCTATTAATATTATAATAACAATTATGAATTCAAATAGTGCTTATTACGGAATACCATCTTTCACTACCGCTTTGCATATAATCATTATTACCCCGATCATTGGATACATTCACGCATACAGTATGCACCATTTACATTTCCCCCGATGTATACCTACCTTATGGTCACCGTGAGAGGATATGGCAATTTTTATCACAATTTTTTTTTGGTCATCCTACCAGGTCCCCGTTTTATCCTGGGTATGGATTTGAAAATATAGATCACCGTCTTGCCAAATGACAAAACTATCTCTCTCGATACGCTTAGACTTACCGAGGAAGATGAAGTAGTACCGGAAGTAGAAATAACTTTTCTCCACGTGACCACGAAGAGCCACTCTACGAAAGAATCAGGTAGAAAATCGGCGAGGGCGTCGTTCAGTGTCGTAGCCAGTCCGTCGGATTCAGCTGCAGAAATCTCAAAGTACGTTACGCTACTAGTAGTGTCGCCAAGCCTATTCCTCTGCAACATCGGATACACGGCTGCGATGTCATCAATGAGGACGATATTTTCAATGGGTATGCCGTCATCGGAGAAGTCAAACGTCCTCTCCTCTCCGAAGTATATCAGTCCATTGACAGAGACCTAGCCAACCACAAATGATTTGACAATAATAACTCGATCAAATCGACCAAGCATAGGATTTTTTTCATTTTGCAATTAATACCTGTAAAACTAATATCTATTTGGACTTCACTATACTATTTATGGTTGTATTATAAATTATCTTCTTTATGAACCATACTTTTTCGTTTCCTATTATCCCTTTTCCTTTTGGGATATCTTTTCAGCCTTTGTGCTGTCTAGTCTGAAGGATATTGATGACTGCTGGGATGCTCTTTTTTGAAAGTGTTAATTCTGATATAATTTTGCAGAGAAGCAGAAAAAGATCAGTGAAAGTTTTAGCAGAATCCAATAAGCCAGTTCACGGTTGCAGTCTGAGCATGAGCAGATAAAGGTCATTGCAGAACAAATTGTGAAATACATGGAGACGAAATACTGGATACGTGCTTATGAAAGTTATGTAATCATTATTCATTTATGCACTCCATGATACACAGGTGGAAATATTCTTTGAAAAGGGGAAACAAAGGCTATTTATGTAGCACCTCCATCGCTCTAGGAGTGATTATTTCAAAAAGTACAAAGTAGGACCTCTTCATGTTTTGAAGATCTGTGGATATTCGGGGGGTCATTGCAGTAATGTGCTAACCGTGAACTGGTCTATTCAGAATAAACACGATATGATTTTTGTTTAGATTGCGATAAGATCAAACATAAATTGGCAGCCCTGTGACCTACCGTTCGAGGTCCCCTCCCATTTTCTTCTTACCAAAACACAATTCTAATTTTCAGTCATACATTTCCCTATTTATGATCATTGTAAATATGTTTGTATACAACCCTTGAATGAAACAAATCTTTATTCGATCCTCAATAGCAATGAATGGAAATCTATGGAATTTTTAATTTGGAGCCAAAGGGACAGCACTTCGGAGGATACGTCACAGAGTCGCCAATATGTGTTTCAATGATTGCAGCTTCAAAAATACTGATAAAAATTCTTATATCGAATACGATTTTGCTCCAACTTTTACCTATCTGGGTATTGTCGTGAAACAGGAATCAGAACTTCGAAAAACCGACAAAAGAAAAATCCTTCGAAAAGCCTCAATTATCTACACAAACCAACAATGAATAATGTTAAAAAGTACCTTTCAAATGGCAAAGAATCGAGAGAAAAAATATTATATCCGTAGAATTATTTTTCGAACAATATATCTCCAACAACACGTTGACTTCCCTTGTCTTTTATTTATACTGCCTTGTATTGAACGATGAGGGCTCTATATTCACAGTGCATTATTCCCTGTTTTCGAAGAGATTGCCACTTCTCCGTTTTCCATACATAGTTGTCACTTGAGTATGACTAATTTTTCTCCGGACGTCGAATTACGTCACAAGCACCGGTCTCCTTCCCCCCACCCCCATAGACCCTTCTCACAAGCGTGAGCGTGCGGGTGAACGAGTGGTTTCTCAAAGCACTGTAAAGCCCCAATGTAATGTTTCATTTTCCGCATTTATCCAACCCAACTGAATATCGGGGTCGACTTCCCCTTTAAACTTACACCAATGCTGTTGTACACTTTGCCGCCAAAGTTGAATGAGTTGCTAGTATTGACGTAGCCAGGTTTGTCAGGCAAAACAGTATTTCCTGCATTTTGAGTGTTGAAAAGAACTGCAAAGGAGAACAAATATCAATAACAATGATGATGATATTCTGAATGTATTAAGGGCTTATCGCATCGATGAAGTTTCAAAGCACTTACAGACGTACTGTTACCCCGACCATCGGATTCAGGCTTGTCCGCACATAATGCATGCATATTCTCGACTCCATGAGGGAATTCCAGCCAGGAGCCATTTCATAGACGTTCTCAATGCTGAACAAACTACATATCATATTAACTCTTTGCCTACTGGTACCGCGTGGGCCATGTATTAAGCCTATGGGTATAAGAGAATTCAGTAGTCAACGGGTAAATTAAATTAAGACTAGTAGAAATTTTAGTTTGAATGGTCCATCCACGGATCACTGATTATGCCGATATATTTATTCAGCTTAGAATGGCTATAGACAACGAGGCTGAAGAACTGCAAAAACCGACAACCCACGAAACCGACAGCTCATTATAGACCTACAATCCTCGCTACTGCAACTATGGTATCTATAAGGCAGCACCAGCCATGGTATATTTGGCAAAGGCACTTCCGGTTCCCAAACAAATACAATGGGTCGAAAACTGGAAAGTCCGAATAAATGTACGGTTTCGGAACTAATAAACCATAAGTAACTAATCATGATGACATTTTGCACCCCAAAGTGGGGTACAAAATTACACCCGAGAGGCAACATACGTGTACCTTAAGTGGTGCAGAAATTTCCTATAAATATAGCAGCACCTCATAGGGTTTAATTCTGGATATCCCAGAATTCCAGGACACCCCAAAAGGCTGACAGGTATGTGGGAAACTGAAAATATCGGTCCGTTGAATCTTTGAAGGTTGTCAGAAGGCCCACGAGACTGGACAAACTAACAGCATGCAGAAGGTTCACTTTATTGTAGGTCTCGTGTGTTGATAATAGTAATAATAATAATATTCTTAGGTTTGTTTGTACAACATGTATTTGATGTTTTTATTGATCCTATTCATTTCAAATTAAGAATCACATAACATCAACATAGATTATTGTGGACCATAGGGTTAAATACAAATAACGTGAAATGTACACTTGTCTTACAAATATTGAAAAACACAATCAAATGATTAGATATCGATTGCTGGCATTGAGAGATTGCACAGGATTACAAGAGACACCCAGAGACGAACAATGCTCATCAGAAAAGAAAGGTATTACAAAGAACAGGCACCTGGACAATTGAAAGTAAAAATATAAAAACACAAACCTTCCATCCTAATGCCCCTTTATAATATTCAGAATACTTACCCACTTGGCAGCATGGAGGACTGATTTGATTTTTCCTTTGGGCCATGTTATGTTCAACAAACTAAATGTACACATGTACTACATTCATATTGCGCGAGTATCCATAGCAAGGTTGTTCAAAAAGCATGTAAAGTACTATAATTACACCAGGGAGGTGAGACTTTAAACTCACATGCCCTGATTACACTGACTTTATCCCAGCAACCCTAAGGCGCTAAAAACTTTCAAGGAATCAATTTCTACTAGGTACCCATTAACTGCGCGTCGGTGGAGAGTGGCAAATTAAGATTATTTTCTGGCTAATGGACATTAGTGCCGCGGCGGGACTCGAATCTCGAACCATGTCATCAATAGTCCCGTAACATATCCACTAGACGACGACACCCGCACATGATATTTGGAGCCTTTTTGTATTGTGGTTCCCTCAACCAGGGATATCCCTGCCTCAACTTAGGACGGCTTTAGCAAAACTACTATTTATTGACGACACTTTGGGAGTGCTGTGACAAATTGATGAAGGCTCTTGACTATCATACAAAAGGATTTTGGGTTTAATACTCGCTTCGGTGCTTCCATCCCGGGAATATACCCCTAGGACCATTACACCCTGGTTTCCAAGAAAAATCAAGGACAACCACCCACGAAAAAAATTATTGCCCCTGTCAATTACCCCTCCCCCTGGAAGTCTTACCCGATATTTAAGGTTGGTTTTAATGAAAGAAGAATTTGTTCTGATACAGTTTGGTTTGATTTTTCGTTAAAATATCGCACAAAACACGCGAGTGACTAATCTATATACAAAACAACTGTTATTACTATACAGTTATTGACTGGCAGGGGGTGTAATATAACATTATTTGGACTGCTGAAGGGAGTTATATTTCCCAAGTGGTTATATTTTCCCAAAGCGCGCAGTGCTGAGGGAAAATATGGTCACGAGGGAAAATATAACTCCCTTCAGGTCCAAAGAATGTTATATACCCCCTGCCAGTCAATAACTGTTATATTAGATAGCCTTTTTGTGTGTGTGTGTGTGTGTGTGTGGGGGGGGGGGGGGGGGTCCATATTTTTTTTTGCCCCGAAATTTAAAAAAAAAATCGGGGACAATCAAAATTACGTAAAAATAATCTGTCGAGATAGCTCAAGAAAGAAAAAAACCTTACAAAAAAACCAAAAAAAGAATTGGGGAAAAAAAAAAAAAAAAAAAGAAAATCTTACCCAAAAAAGCATTTTTCGGGAAAAAAAAAAAATCTAAAAAAAAAAAAAAAATACACAAAAAAGCATTTTTTGGGAAAAAATAAAAATGTGGAAAAATTAATTTCAAGGGAAAAAAAAATTCATGAAAAAAAAAATTTTGAAAAAATATAATGACCCTTGGTAAAGGTGTAATGTGTGTAATTGGTGACATACAGTCCTCAAGAGGGCGACATGCATTGATTAAAAATATATTCATTTCACCAGCCGGTAAAATACAACACCGAAAAGTGACCGGCCAGGAAAATATAACAATTTGGATCCTCGCAATTGATATCACGTGACGAGCTCTGGACCAATCACATCTCGGTATCTGTCTAAGCTATCTAATATTATAGTTTATTACACATAATCATAGTACTTGCATTTAATGTATTATTCAACATTCTACCTTGCTTTGTTAATGTAAAATAAATAATTTTCGGCTTGGAAATTTATAATGAATACATTGTAACCGTCATGGTTGGTTCGTTTGGGTTCCTGCTATTAAAACACCCACAAAAACGATTATTACTTTCAAGATTACAATAAAGTTTGTATTTTATGCGAAATAAAGGTATTTTAAAATGGAGGGCATAAAGAAGATCCATTTATGGTCAAACAAATTTTCATTATAATCCATTTAGTTGGGAAGCGTATAAGTTTCTATATCCAAATATGTGTTATCTGATAATTCGCTACAGCGCAATATTGGTCCATACATATTTATTTTAACATGTGAATGTATTGGTTATTGCAATAAAGAAGTATTCGAACATGCAGCTGATAGCTGAAATTGTTCAATTTACAGAGTTAAGAGTACATGGCAGAACACTACATCGACAACACATTGAAAGATATAGAAAAACTGAACCAGTACACTGTGTATATTCAAATACGATTAACAATGTTCATTGATATAGAATTACCATTTATTTTGAGTGTAATAGAAATTTGAAAATTGATAGGTTTTATGCAACAATGACGGAGTAGGTAGCACACGAAGGGTGATATAGAGATTGTGATTTCTAAACAAAAAAGATGTGCAGGTTCATAGCATCGTACAAATAACGAAGAATTAAAGCTAAACAAATTTCGATGGAGGTGAAATAGAATTTAGATGTTTATAAAGATAATTGGTGTTCGATCATGCAATCGTATGTCTGAAACTGTCTGTATACAGAACAATTATTTGCTGAATACAACATATACTCAACCAAAAATATATGTGCACCGGACGACTTTCAATACAAATCGATGAATACTGGATGAAACTTGTTTTATAAAAAAAAAAGTATGCAGTATTTTGAAAATTCCTCTGTGTGGCCGTGCGTTGTTTTTCAAGGCATGGCCGTACAGAGGAATTATTCCTTTTGCGGACCGGGGGGAAATGCCATAAATTATTGATAATTTATTGCATAAAAAAAAATATTTATGGGGCCGCCCTCTACCCTAGCGTCCGCTGCTTACACACATGAGTTAAAGACAAAACAATGGCCTCGTAACTGTGAGGCCCCATCTCGTCTCGCCTGCATTACGCAATTCAATATGAAGAAAAAATGATGTTGGGACATTATTCATTGGCAGGGTGGCCCATTAGCAAGCCCCCCCCCCCCCCCAATGAAATCCTCTAAACATAATCAGCATTTTGGAATGAATATTGATCAAGAGTCATCAGAAGAATTATTTACCATAATGTGTACCAAGATCAATAACTGTAATTGAATATGAAAAAATAACAAAAATTGGTTTATTAATCCGATATATCTTCCCTACTCCGAAGCAATTACAAATATCTTTGGCCTATCTATATAATTATTTCATGTGGTATATTTTTGTTATCTTTTAAAACCCCACATTTCTCCGATTTTCTGCCTCAACAGAATGATATTCAATTCTACAGAGGTTGATTTTCACTCCAGATTGATAGAACGTTCACTTTAAAAATAATGAAAGGCTATGATGAAATTAGTAAATATATATGTTTTAATTGCCACGGCCTTCTACATGTAAATACACATCAGCCACTGGTGCAGTAAGGAAGTAAGAGGGTTACCTCCTTCACAAACAGAATTTAGTGTAAATACAACAATATTTGTATCAAAGAGAACGCTCCATCTGTTAGTTTTTGAATTTTTAGTTTGTATTACTTAAAAATTAGATTGCCACCTTATTGTCTGCACGATAGCACTGTCCTTCGTAATAAATAGGCTTCTAATCGAAAGAGACATAGTGCAAACGTCAATATTTTGACAGAAATTCATTGATCAGGATTTGTTTTTCCCCTGAACAATAAGGTACAGTCCTTTCCCACGCCACAGAAGTGTCAAGTTTGTTACGGACAAAATAATTGTTTATGCTGATGCACATTTTTTTTAGTATGAAGTTTTTATCCAACCTACTACACTGTTGGTCATAATGGTGGCATAATTTTTTAAAACCCAAATGTATGGAATGATTTTGACAATATGATAATGACTGTACGCAGCGGGGCCTAGGGTACGTCGCCGCCCCCACAAATACCAAAAAACATAGAAAATTCAATAAATTATAATAATTTCATTGCATTCACTCACAAATTACTATTTAATAAAATCTGAGAATGTATACTTTTATTAAGATCTAAATCATTTTCAAAATAATTCCATGAATAGGGGTAAAAATAATTATTCCACCATTATGACCAACAGTGTATAAGAGAGTATATCTTTTACCATGTACCCATTTACTGCGCATTGGTGGAGAGTGCCGCGGCGGGACTCGAATCGCGAACCATGTCATCAACAGTCCTCTAACCTATTCTCTAGACGACGACACCCGTACAGGATGATGGAGCCTTTTTGTCTCGTGGTTCCCCCAACCTAGGACGGCTTCAGCCAAAATACTATTTAATGACGACACTTTGGGAGTGCTGTGATGAATTTGTGAAGGCTTTCGACTATCATACAAAAGGGTTTGGGGTTTAATACTCGCTTCGGTGCTTCCATCCCGGGAAGAGGTGTTTTGTCCACCTTATGTTGTCCCCCTCTACCATATTTATTTAGTTACATGGTAAAGCTGTTGCTGGTGTCATGATATTTGCAGGGCCACAGAAAGAGTGGTATTAATATTGATGTGCCTATCCGAGGTAAATAAGACCAGAATATTATTTAATATTACCGATATAACTATACTTGTCAAGGTTAAATAAAAATCACATTACCCGAATCCTGAACAGTCCCAGAGACCCAGATGACCAGGAGAAGGAACTTTACCGCCCCGAGACGACGGGGTGTAAACCAGAGAAACCCTGGCGAAGACATCCTGATTATAATCGGTGTTCGATCATGCAATCGTATGTATTAAACCGCCTGTATACAAAACAATTATTTGCTGAATAAATACTATACTCAACCAAAAAGATATGATCCCTGGACCACATTCAATATAACTCGATGAGTATTGGATGAAACTTGTTTCATGAACTAAAAGGATGCAGTTTTTTACTTACATGTTCAATGCCTAGTAGTGATTAAATTCATATTGAAATCATGATTATCATGCCGAAAATAATTGTTGGTCACGTTTGATATTGAATTGCATGGTTCATATCATATGCAGTTTAAAGAATTTGAATAAGATTTATGTATCTGAACTTGAGCCAAGAAAACGAAGTGTATGTACATGTACACCTTACATTAATTTACTAAACACGAAATGCAACAAGTACCAATTGTGATAAAAACCAGAATTTCATCATCGACATAATCAATAGTTTACAAAATAACAAATCGAAATATTTTTACAAACCTTTTGCACACGTTGGTGTTTAAATGAAGAACTTTGTATAAACATCAAGTAAACTTACTTGTTTGGTCGAGCTAGAGAGCAAACCCCCTCAGATCAGTCACTACGTGTTCAATATCACAACACAAAGTTGCAACTGGTAATAACTGGACTGAAAATTGAATATTGCGGTGTTTTTCTGTTTACCCTTGAAACAATTCACAGTAATCAATAATCTAGACAATTCAACAATAGAGCAGATGCCAGCTTCTGACGCATGATGACCTTGTTTGTTTCTCATAACACCACGCTTTATATAATACAAAAACGTAAAATCTACAGTTGATCCAAAAATATTCGTATCAGGACATTACTACCCTAGAAAATCGCCCCTCCCAGAAAACTACCCCTCATTCCAAAATATTACCCTTAGGACCATTACACCCTGGTTTCCAAGAAAAGTCAAGGAAAACCACCCACGAAAAAAATTATTGCCCCTGTAAATTACCCCTCCCCCTGGAAGTCTTTCCTGATATTTAAGGTTGGTTTTAATGAAAGTAGAATTTGTTCTGATACAGTTTGGTTTGATTTTTCGTTAAAATATCGCACAAAACACGCGAAGGTGACTAATCTATACACAAAAAACTGTTATTACTATAGTTTATTACACATAATCATAGTACTTGCATTTAATGTATTGTTTTACATTCTACCTTGCTTTGTTAATGTAAAATAAATAATTTTCGGCTTGGAAATTTATAATAAATACATTGTAACCGTCATGGTTGGTTCGTTTGGGTTCCTGCTATCAAAACACACACAAAAACGATTATTACTTTCAAGATTACAATAAATTTTGTATGTAATGCGAAATAAAGGTTAATTTAAAAAGGAGAGCATAAAGAAGATCCATTTATGGTCAAACAAATTTTTATTATAATCCATTTAGATGGGAAGCGTATAAGTTTCTATATCCAAATATGTGTTATCTGATAATTCGCTACAGCGCAATATTGGTCCATACATATTTATTTTAACATGTGAATGTATTGGTTATTGCAATAAAGAAGTATTCGAACATGCAGCTGATAGCTGAAATTGTTCAATTTACAGAGTTAAGAGTACATGGCACAAGACTTCATTGGCAACACATTGAAAGATATAGAAAAACTGAACCAGTACACTGTGTATATTCAAATACGATTAACAATGTTCATTGATATAAAATTACCATTTCTTTTGAGTGTAATAGAAATTTGAAAATTGATAGGTTTTATGCAACAATGACGGAGTAGGTACACTGTAAAAAAATAATAGTCGAAATAACTCAATAAAATTGAGGAAAAGAATTGCCTTATTTTTATGAAGTAAATATTACCTACGGCATCTTAAGTAGAATTTACTTATTTTGCTGAATAAATTTTTACTCAGTTAAATCGATTTACATTAACGTAAATAATTTAAGTATTGTAATCATTTTAGATAATTAAAAAAAAGCTATGACATATTGCACGATTTGGTACCCATCTAATCTAACAAGTAACATCCACTAATCATTCACTCCTTCTATTTAAGATTTAACCGTATATATATATATATATCTACCACCATCACAGACTATTACATACGCTTCAATTCGACACATATTGAAAGGCTCCAAATTTTATATATACTTGATCGTAGCATCTTAAAAGGAAAATTGGTTGACAATTTCCTGAAATATCAAGTTTTGATTTGTTTTGAACTGGGTAACAATTAAAAATTGTCTTGTCTTTGCTTAGCCATGTTAAATGAATTAGTAAATGTTTTAAAGTCCTTAAATTTTCATTCAACCACAAAAAATAATTGTTTTATTTAAAAAAGAGTTTAATTTGGTCTTAATGAATATTCATAAATTATGTAAATATTTCTATTACGCACTGCATCGGTCCTTACTTTAAAAAGATAAGAATAATCAACATAAATTGTTTGAGTAATACGTATAATTTCTGATTTTGAGTTAAAATTACTTAATTAATACAAGCTGAAATTACTTAAAGTTCTTATGTATTTGATTTTACTTAAATATTCCACGTAATAAATTGAAAGTTTGAGTTAGCAAGACTTAAATTTAGTGCGTAAGTGGCAAAACTAATGTTTTCAAGTAAATTCTACATGAAAAAAATACGTAAAAATTACCAATGAACAAATTCTTTTTTACAGTGTAGCACACGAAGGGTGATATAGAGATTGTGATTTCTAAACAAATAAGATGTGCCGGTTCATAGCATCGTACAAATAACGAAGAATTAAAGCTAAACAAATTTCGATGCAGGTGAAATAGAATTTAGATGTTTATAAAGATAATTGGTGTTCGATCATGCAATCGTATGTCTGAAACTGTCTGTATACAGAACAATTATTTGCTGAATACATCATATACTCAACCAACAAATTATGTTTACCAGACGACTTTCAATATAAATCGATGAATACTGGATGAAACTTGTTTTATAAAAAAAAAGTATGGAGTATTTTGAAAATTCCTCTGTGTGGCCGTGCATTGTTTTTCAAGGCATGGCCGTACAGAGGAATTATTCCTTTTGCGGACAGGGGGGAATGCCATAATTTATGATAATTTATTGCATTAAAAAAAAATATTTGTGGGGCCGCCCTCTACCCTAGCGTCCGCTGCTTACACACATGAGTTTAAAGCAAAACAATGGCCTCGTAACTGTGAGGCTCCATGATAAACAAGGGAAACGCTCTCGGCCGTCTCGCCTGCATTACGCAATTCAATATGAAGAAAAAAATGATGTTGGGACATTATTCATTGGCAGAGTGGCCCATTAGCAAGCCCCCCCCCAATGAAATCCTCTAAACATAATCAGCATTTTGGAATGAATATTGATCAAGAGTCATCAGAAGAATTATTTACCATAATGTGTACCAAGATTAATAACTTTAATTGAATATGAAAAAATAACAAAAATTGGTTTATTAATCCGATATATCTTCTCTGCTCCAAAGCAATTAAAAATATCTTAGGCTTATCTAAATAATTATTTTATGTGGTATATTTTTGTTATCTTTTAGAACCCCACATTTCTCCGATTTTCTGCCTCAACAGAATGATATTCAATTCTACAGAGGTCAATTTTCACTCCAGATTGATAGAACGTTCACTTTAAAATTAATGAAAGGCTATGATGAAATTAGTAAATATATATATGTTTTAATTGCCACGGCCTTCTACATGTAAATACACATCAGCCACTGGTTCAGTAAGGAAGTAAGAGGGTTACCTCGTTCACAAACAGAATTTATTGTTAATACAACAATATTTGTATCAAAGAGAACGCTCCATCTGTTGGTTTTTAATTTTTAGTTTGTATTACTTAACAATTAGATTGCCACCTTACTGTCTGCACGATAGCACTGTCCTTCGTAATAAATAGGCTTCTAATCGAAAGAGACATAGTGCAAACGTCAATATTTTGACAGAAATTCATTGATCAGGATTTGTTTTTCCCCTGAACAATAAGGTACAGTCCTTTCCCACGCCACAGAAGTGTCAAGTTTGTTACGGACAAAATAATTGTTTATGCTGTCGCACATTTTTTTAGTATGAAGTTTCTATCCGACCTACTACACTGTTGGTCATAATGGTGGAATAATTTTTTAAACCCAAATTTATGGAATGATTTTGACGATATGATAATGACTGTACGCAGTGGGGGCTAGGGCACGTCGCCGCCCCCACTAATACCCAAAAAACATAGAAAATTCAATAAATTATAATAATTTCATTGCATTCACTCACAAATTACTATTTAATACAATCTGAGAATGTATAATTTCATTTAGATCTATTACGAATAAATAATTGTCAAAATAATTCCATGAATTGGGGTAAAAATAATTATTCCACCATTATGACCAACAGTGTATAAGAGAGTATATCAATACTGATTAAATAATTGAAAATATAAATCCTTGAAATTAACTTTTTTTTTGTTAATATGTCCGCGTTTTCATAAAATAAGATGGTTTTGAATTTCGCATGAATTTAGGGTAGACAAAATATTTTGAAAGAAAGAGAGAATATCGAAGACGAAACGGAATTTCAACGCCAGGGAAATACATTGATTTTTTAGATACTTTTAGTTGTTATCATCCCTTTTCGGAATTAGTTGCGAATGTGGAAAAAAAGACTCCGCCGGGAATCAAGATTTTTTTTTATAATGTGATGAGGTCGAATTCTTGCTATTTTAAAAAAATATAAATGTTGTGTTATCCGGTAATGTTCGTTATTTTATTAATGGTATGTGTATCAGCTTGGAGAAAAAGAAAAGAAAAGAAAATAAAAAGGGGTAAAAAGATGATGTTGATGATGGTGGTGCTGGTAATGATAATATGGCCATTTACACTTGCATCCAAACACGCCAAAAAACGCCGAACCAGAGCCTGACCACGATGTTACGTTGATGTTACCAAGGCAACTACGCATTTTACCGGCGAACATGCCAAGCCTGAAACATTCCAAACCGAAGTGTGA